TTGGAGAACTAATCGTGAAGCTTAGATTTGATGCCTCATTTAAACTTTGATTTTTAAATATATATCAAGGATCGTCCATCGATTGGCCTTTGTAACTAGTATCTAGATTCAGTTATCTAGTACTTGAGATGAGTAAGGAGCTGGGTGTCCGAGAGGTCTAAACTGAGCAAATCTCAAGTTGGTGGTCTGGAGTTCGATTCCAACCAAAGGAATAAATAACTATATATATATATATTGAAGTACTTCTTTTCGTAAATCAATAATATTTCTTAAATTAAAGTGATACAGCGATTTAACAGTTAATTACCGCAAATGGAAATCGAAATTGAACTCGCAATCTTTTACTTTTCTTTATAGAATAGTTATGGAAGAACTAGTTGCAGAGCAAGAGAAGACCTTAGGATTAGAATCAAATTTTGAACGTGAAGATTTTATACTTTTAAATGTTTAGCTCATGGTAAGATTTAGTGATACTCCCGATTCTAAAGTATAACCCCTTTCCTTCCTTCCAAATTTGATAAGTTAGGATCCCATCAATTTTTAATAAACTAAAACTTTTAAAATGTTACATCACAATAGACATCATGTCTCTCCTGAAACTTGACATCATGTCTCCCCAGAGACTTGACTTTAAGTCTCCGCAGAGACTTGACTTTATGTCTCCCCAGACTCCCCAGAGACGTGACTTTATGTCTCCCCAGACTCCCCAGAGACTTGACTTTATGTCTCACCAGGACTCCCCAGAGACTTGATTTTATGTGTCCCCGGAGACTTGACATTATGTCTCACCAAACCTTTTTGGATGAGGCTATAGTTACAAGGTTTATATTTTTGATTGAGTAAAAAGTTTGATTTTTTTAAATTTTAAATATTAGAGGCATCTCAAGTTGATAAAAGCAAAATTATTTTTTAAAAGTAAATTCAGAATGTTTTAAATCAAAAAATGTTAAGCTTCGCAGATTAGAAACTGGTACCTTTTGCCTTCTTTTTTTTAATTCTTGAGTCCAAATCGAGGAAAACTTGGTGGTACATCAGAAGAAAACAAAAAGACTAGACGCATAAATTCCTAAGCCAAATCCATTTCAACCAGTCCTCATGACTGTGGCGCTACAGCCCATGTAGGGCTTTGGCCTGTCTAAACACATGCTTCCAATCAGACCATCCATCCATCCCTGTGGCGCTACAGCCCATGTAGGGCTTTTGGCCTTCCTCACGACATCCTTCCACTCGGACCATCCATCCATCCCTGTGGCGCTACAGCCCATGTAGGGCTTTGGCCTGCCTCACGACATCCTTCCACTCGGACCATCCATCCATCCCTGTGGCGCTACAGCCCATGTAGGGCTTTGGCCTGCCTCACGACATCCTTCCAGTCGGACCATCTATCCATCCCTGTGGCGCTACAGCCCATGTAGGGCTTTGGCCTGCCTCACGACATCCTTCCACTCGGACCATCCATCCATCCCTGTGGCGCTACAGCCCATGTAGGGCTTGCTTTGGCCTGTCTCACCACATCCTTCCACTCGGACCATCCATCCATCCCTGTGGCGCTACAGCCCATGTAGGGCTTTGACCTGCCTCACGACATCCTTCCACTCGGACCATCCATCCATTCCTGTGGCACTACAGCCCATGTAGGGCTTTGGCCTGCCTCACTATAATATACTTCCACTCAGACCTAAATGATGCCTTTCTTTTTCCATGTTTGGATTACCAGTTGCTGTAGATCCCTGTCAAGATCACCATTTCACCCAGTCCGGGGGCTGATCCTGTTTCAAAAAAACATTAACTAAAACCTTTTCAACCGATTCTAAAAGCCCCTGAATTCCTGCTCAAGTCAGCTGCAGAGGCAGATACTGTCTATTAGTTGATTATCAGAATCCTCTTCTCTGTTCTTTTTCTGCTTTTGCTCGATAACATTTTTCAAAGCCTTCAAGACATGCACAATAACATTTTGGTCTGCATGTGTGTCACGACACAGTGAACTCTCTGCTTGGAAACACTTTTTTATCAGATTCAAATTTTAATTAAGTTTCTTAATTTAAAACATGTCGACTCCCCGACCAACTCTTTGTAATAGAACAAAAATAAATAAAAAAACACAATCGCTTACATTTAGTTCCCTGTCTAACACACACACACACACATACACACACACACACGCACGCACTCGAACACAGTCACCACCCTCACCCCCCCCACCCCAAACTTCAAAACTTAAAGTGGATAACTAAAATCGACCTCAGTGTCTGTGGGGGTCTTAGGTTAAAGGTCAGATGATCAAAACTGTAAGTTTCTGTTCTAATGCAACACTGCCCCACTTGCACTGCAACACTGCCCCACTTGCACTGCAACACTGCCCCACTTGCACTGCAACACTGCCCCACTTGCACTGCAACACTGCCCCACTTGCACTGCAACACTGCCCCACTTGCACTGCAACACTGCCCTACTTGCAGTGCAACACTGCCCCACTTGCACTCTAGGTGTGTCAGGATGTAAGGTAGTGGGCATTTAAAATTCTAATTAATCTTTTTTACCCAACCTATAATCTTTGCAATAATAAAATGTTAATAATGCCATATCAATACCCTAACTAAAGAGCCACATCAATACCCCAACTAAAGAATTACATCAGAACCCAAGATAATCTAACACATCAATACCCCAGCTAGAGTACAACATCAATACCCCAGCTGAAGTAACACATCATTACCCCAGCTAAAGTACCACATCATTACCCCAGCTAGAGTACCACATTAATACCCCAGCCAAAGTACAACACTAAAATACCTAATCCATAAAAGCCAAAATTACTTAAATTTCCCAATTTACATGCATCACTAACAGTTTACCATTAGTAATACACCACCCTCAATACCTCATATGAGCAAGTAATCCCCCTTCCAGTCTCTTCAATACCTTCTCCACTCTCTTCAATACCTCACATCCAATCTCTTCAATACCTCACCTCCAGTCTCGTCAAAATCTCATCTCAATTCACATCTATAATATATTCCTTAAAACCTTCATTTTGTTTCTTCGACATCTTATTTCTACATTGACATGCATTAAATAAAGACTACATACCACCATGCACCACATTCTAAGCCTAAGCTCAGTGCAATGTCTGAAAGTACCACCATGCACCACATACCTAAGCCTCAGCTCAGTACAATGTCTGGACGTACCACCATGCACCACATACCTAAGCCTCAGCTCAGTGCAATGTCTGGACGTACCACCATGCACCACATACCTAAGCCTCGGCTCAGTGCAATGTCTGGACGTACCACCATGCACCACATACTAAGCCTCAGCTCAGTGCAATGTCTGGACGACATCAGAAACTATTTCAACGGAAAGTATGTCTCCTAATCTTCCTTGTTTGCATTTCCTATCTCAACGTTTTGTTTGTAGGTTGTAGGCCACATTTGAATTTTTTTTTTTTTAAACATATTCAAATCTGCAAATACAATTTGAAACGTCCAATCTATTACTTCAAATCGGTCAGCCTTCATGCAGAGCAAAGTTGCACCCAGGGACGGGTGTGTGAGGTGGAGGGCAGATAACACATGTGTGAAGATTGAAGACGAGTTGTTGGCCCATGGAACTTGTAATGTGTTGTTTACCGATGTACTTTATCTAACAATTTTTTTCCCCCGTTCGGCCACCATGTTGTGGAGTTACATCAACGCTGTCGCTGAGGCCGGCAACTCTCTAGTGACCAACTGCAAAAGGAGTGTACAAGAGGAACATTGAGTGTACATGGGGAATATTTCGGTCATGAGTAATTGTGTGTAAATCCTCTTCAGTAAACGATACAGGTTTCGAAGATTCTCACATAACATCTGCTTTGTGTACAGGGGTATGACATAATTGGGTGTGACGGGCTTGTTTGTAAAGGCACGTGGAACCGTTGGACATTAAAACGGGATTCCTTGACCGATGGCTACATTTGTGTTGACTCTACTAGCTACATTCTGCAAGAAGATCAATTAGACTGATGACGGCATTCAAGAGATGTTCATTGACTCTACTGACTAGAGTCTACAAGAAGAGGATCAATTACGACACGAGAGCTGTCCACTGACTCTACAAAACAGCAATGAAAATTGCCTAATTGTCAATCAGAACAAGTTATTCAGTTTTGTTAAGGATTACATTGATTTTGTAGAACAAACTGCTTCAAGTGCATTTGAAATGAATTTTCTGTAAGGGTCTACTAAAGTATTTGAAATGAATGTACTAATAAGGGTCTACTAAAGTATTTGAAATAAATGTTCTGTAAGGGTCTACTAAAGTATTTGAAATGAATGTTCTGTAAAGTTCTACTAAAGTTTAAAGTTGAAGATTTTAGTAAAATCTGCAATGAAAGAAAATTTCCAGTAGTCATTATGTGTCAGAGTGTAGGAATACATGAATCAATTTGTGGTAAGGGCCGTTCATAGATTAGACAGTATTTTTTTACAAATTGAACCCTGGGAAGGGAGTGGTACCGAATCCTTCAAATTAGGTCAAATCTACAAAAAAAAAAATAAAATAAAAAAATCCATCATGTAGATAAGAGCTGGAACCTCTGACCATCTGACCATCTGACCTTCTGACCATCTGACATCGCCTGGTTTGAATACCGTATTGTGTAGAGCAGGAGTGATTGCATCTTTGACAATCCAAAATAGAAAATTAAAACTATTTTTGTCTATCCCTGCATCACCGCGTCATGTCACTTTAAAAAAATTATTAGTTTTTTGGGGGTGCTTTTTTTGGGTGCTGGCTTCAATCTATGATTCGATTAGCCCCAAACGTTAAAAGGGGGCCAAATGAAATGTGTGTGGCCTAATAAGATTGTGTGTATTTATCGATCTAAGACCGTCTCAATGGATAGAGCGTGATAATCTGGCTTATCTACTTACACCACCCTGGCGCCAATTTTTATCTTTATACGTGTATTTTATTGGGGAAGGAAAAAACAAAAATAATGTTCACATGATTACAGTGTAGTCTGATAGGCATGTCACATGACATCACATGACATCACATGCCATGCAACTCTTTGAAACTCGTAACAGTGAGTTGGCGATTTTACTTTTTTGTTGCTGAACTTTCAGTTTGTTGACACTCACCACGTGAGATTCTGGGCCAACATTCAACGGGGACTTATCCATGACGCCCAGAAATAAAAGTGATATTTAGATGGACAACACTGTCCATTCCGGTCAGCCGTTGGCCAAGTCCAGAATCAGGAGTGTAGTAGGATACTCTTATTTCTAACGGTTGTCTTTCGTCGACTATTGTTTATGTTTCAGCTTTTAGCGGAGTTTGCTCCAGCTACTTTGTTATGATGTTATCTTCGATGTCAAATTTGATCACGTCTTTCACGGTCGATGTGCGAAGAGGCAACCGTTACAGCCACGTAGATACACTGGGGCGGTAACCAAGAACATTGACTGTAGTTTGGGACAATCATAGAAAACTTTGCACTGAAAGCTCGTTGTCATCGATTGTCAGTCTCATCCAATCAAAACGTGTCTCTGACTTCACTTCATGCATTTTCCAAACTTTGAAGACACCAAGTTCATATCTGACTGTTTGTAGCCCTGTAGCTTTCTTTCTATTGACAGATTGTACCCTACCGGCCGCCTCTTTATTTCCACGCATGGCAGTCAATGTGAAAGTAAATAGAAGCGCGTGGACTGGGTGTGAAACAAGGCTCGCGCTGGCCTCGTTCTAGTTTCACGGTTCATTGGACGGCAATCGAGATTATGATAATATTTACGGCCCGAACGACATTTAGGATATCTCTATAAATAGATTGTGGCCTTCTTAATAATCCTAGCGAAGTTTACTTAGTCATACAAATATATGCATGAAAAATGTATTAAATTTTCTTGTGTATTTTTATAGAAAACATGTAGTTTCGACATTTTTCCGTGGACAATCAAAGTTTTGATAGTTGATGTTCTTTAATAGTTGATGTTCATGATAAGTGATGTTCATCTCATTCTGTCTACGTCGGTCAGTTAAGTGCTTGTCAATGGCTTATAAATAATAATTTGAACTAATCATTTCGTAATTTTCAACACAAATCATAGGATTAAATTTTTTTTTAAAAATTAAAAAAATTGAAACGGGAAGAGGGACAAAGTATCCATCATGGTTCCACTCGTTGTGTCGTCCAGCAAGAATAATAATTTTTACAACGAGGAATTCACCGTCAAGCATTTCAATGCGTGTGGAGAAACACAGGACAGACAGAGCTCTTCAATAGAAGAGCTCGCCACTCACCAGAGCTCTTCAATAGAAGAGTTCGCCACTCACCAGAGCTCTTCAATAGAAGAGTTCGCCACTCACCTGTCACTGTACGATGATCACATTCATTTCGTGGACCGAACAGCCTCCGTTACGTCACGTGTCAGTGAAGGAGAACTCGAGGTAGGAACATGTAACGGAGTACAGTAGATGGAACTGTGTCTGCGTCTGTCACCGTGTCTGTGTCTGCGTCTGTCACCTTGTCTGTGTCTGCGTCTGTCAACGTAATCTGTGTCAAGATGATGCAAGTCAAATTAAAACGTTTTAAATGAAACGTCATTTTAAAAAATGGGTTTTTAATTTTCAATAAAATATTTTGTGACAACGTGATTTTAGATTGAGAACAAACAGGGCGGGCAGTCAATAGCAACAGTAGCTGTATCAAGGGCAGACAACCCAGAATGTTTCGTATGTATCTTTTATGGCGTATTAACCGTTGGCGGACCGCGTGTTATATTAAATTACCTCCCCCCCCCCCCCACCCCCTAAACAGGGCGGGCAGTCAATAGCAACAGTAGCTGTAACAAGGGCAGACAACCCAGGATGTTTCGTATGTATCTTTTATGGCGTATTAACCGTTGGCGGACCGCGTGTTATATTAAATTACCTCCCCCCCCCCCACTGCCCCAATTAAAAATGCTGTATAGAAATGTTTAGCTATTGTTATTGCACAAAATGAAATACAAAATGACAGAGTAAAAAATGAAACTAATGTGACGCCATTTTTTACATAATATTCTCTCACTCATCTTTTTTTTTAAATTCGCCTTTTTTGTCATTGAATGAAGAACGAATAACTTTCTTTGTGATTAATCAGGAAAATTTGAAGTTGCGGGCCACATGCGGTCCACGGGCCGAGAGATATCCACCCCAGAGGGCTTAAGACGTTAACTCCTCTGCTGATTTCATAATCGCTTAGATTTAACAAATGGGTTGATATTGGCCGTTTAAATCACAGAAGGTAACACGTTGATTGATTGGACTATTTCAGTCAAACTAAAACAAACATTGTTTACACTTCACAAAAACCTACATGTTTATGGTCTCGTTCCCTTCTCTCTTTCTCTCCGTCTCTGACCTCTATCGGTCTTCTCTCTCTCTCTATCTGTCCCCTCTCTCTCTCTTTTCTCTCCTCTTTTCTCTCTGTCTGCTCTCTCTCTCTCTAACTTTTCTCTAATCTCTCTTTTCTGTCTCTCCTCTCTGTCACTATACTCTCCCCCCATCTCTTATCTCTCTCCTATCTTTCTCACCTTTCTTTCTCCCCGATCTCCCTCTCTTCTTCCCCCCCTCTCTCTCTCTATCCCTCTCTCTCTACCCCCTCTCTTTATCCACTCTCTCTCATCTCTCTCTCATCGCCCGCTCACTCTTCTCTTACTTCTCCCTTCCTCTCCTCTTTCTCTCTGCTTCTCTCTCTCCCTATATCAATTCTATCTCTTCTCTCACTCTCATCTCTCCCCCTCTCTCCCTTCTCTTTCTGTCTCTCTCTCTCTTCTGAGCACTGTTAAGCAATCTCTGTTCCAATTTGAGCGCTGTTAAGCAATCTCTGTCACAATTTGAGCACTGTTAAGTAATCTGTGTCACAATTTGAGCACTGTTAAGCAATCTCTGTCACAATTTGAGCACTGTTAGGCAATCTCTGTCACAATTTGAGCACTGTTAAGCAATCTCTGTCAAAATTTGAGCACTGCTAAGCAATCTTTGTCACAATTTGAGCACTGTTAAGCAATCTCTGTCACAATTTGAACCAATGTTCTGTCACATTCCTCTTGCTGTCCTCTTGGATACAACATAGTGTTAAATTTTATCTTATATTGTTCGATAGAGAGAAGGCATCTTGCCGACACGTTCGGTGTTGTTTTTTTGTTTTTTTTGCTTTCTCCCCCCCCCCTCCCCCACCCCAACACAAAGAAAGTTTTCCCATTATTTTTTCGCTCATCTAATATGATCTAATTTCCCACTTTGAACCAAATCCACAATTCCTGTTTGTCGTACTTGGTTCAATTATTATTCTTTAAAAAGGATCATTTCCAAAACAAAACCTGACACCATCGACTTGAACTGGGGCACATCCTCAAATCAGAATGACTTTACACTGACGTCTTTTGGTTCCGCCATCCCTCGGTGACACCCGGCCTTTTAACGTTGTAGCCGTCGTGATCTGACATGTCCCCCCTACTCTGTGACATCAATGTAAACTGTTACGTCCTGTGTAGACTTACTATCGAATGTCTCATTCACTCTACGACTGGATATGTTGGGGTAATCTCTTGGTCTCCGATTTCACCATTAAGTCATTTCAACAGGTTGTAACGGGTGGGACAGAGCATAGATGCACCGCGTAGTTAATGCTGGTCTAGATCGGCTTAGGTTCTACCAGAAGAAACCACTATGTCTACCATAGTGTGTCTATCATAGTGTGTCTACCCCAGTGTGTCTACCCACTGTGTCTACCCTAGTGTGTCTAGCCCCGATGTCTACCCAATGTGTCTAGCCCAGGGTGTCTAGTCCGGTGTGTCTAGCCCGGTGTGTCTACCAAATGTGTCTAGCCAAGTGTGACTACTCAGTGTGTCTGCCCCAATGTGTCTACCAAATTAGTCTACCACAATATGTACCAATTTTGTTTAATAATAATTCTTGAGTTAAGTTAATTACTGTAATTTCTTTTATTTTTCACCATAAAAAAAACAAATTATAAATCATTATGAACTTTGACATATTTCAATCATTTTATGTTTAACTGCGATCATCAATTTAATCTATTCAAACAATAAACAAAAAAGAGACATTCATCGCGTCCTGTGTAATATTAATAATTTATATCGTAAAAAAGCATTACAATCATCCCAATAATTCAAACACATCACAATCCCATCAACAGTACAACACACATCACAATCCCACCAACTATACAACATACATCACAATCCCACCAACAGTACAACACACATCACAATCCCACCAACAGTAAAACATACATCACAATCCCATCAACAGTACAACACACATCACAATCCCACCAACAGTACAAGACACATCACAATCCCACCAACAGTACAACACTCATCACAATCCCACCAACAGTACAACACACATCACAATACACATCACAATCCCACCAACAGTACAACACACATCACAATCCCACCAACAGTACAACACACATCACACTCCCACCAACAGAACAACACACATCACAATCCCACCAACAGTACAACACACATCACAATCCCACCAACAGTACAATAAACATCACAATCCCACCAACAGTACAACACATATCACAATCCCATCAACAGTACAACACACATCACAATCCCACCAACAGTACAAACATATCAGAACTCAACCAACAGTACAACATACATCACAATCCCACCAACAGTACAACACACATCACAATCCCACCAACAGTACAACACACATCACAATCCCATCAACAGTACAAACATACATCACAATCCCACCAACAGTACAAACATACCACATTCCAACCAATAGTATAAACACATAAGAATTCAACCAACAGTACAAACATACATCACAATCCCACCAATCTCACCAATCTCACTAAACAGTCGTACAGATGCTATGTTCCCATCTAGTACAAACACACATCACAATCCCACCAATCTCACCAATCTCACTAAACAGTCGTACAGATGCTATGGTTCCCATCTAGTACAAACATACATCACAATCCCACCAATCTCACCAATCTCACTAAACAGTCGTACAGATGCTATGGTTCCCATCTAGTGCAAACATACATCACAATCCCACCAATCTCACCAATCTCACTAAACAGTCGTACAGATGCTATGGTTCCCATCTAGTGCAAACATACATCACAATCCCACCAATCTCACCAATCCCACCAATCTCACTAAACAGTCGTACAGATGCTATGGTTCCCATCTAGTGCAAACATACATCACAATCTCACCAATCTCACCAATCTCACTAAACAGTCGTACAGATGCTATGGTTCCCATCTAGTGCAAACATACATCACAATCTCACCAATCTCACCAATCTCACTAAACAGTCGTACAGATGCTATGGTTCCCATCTAGTACAAACATACATCACAATCCCACCAATCTCACCAATCCCACCAATCTCACCAATCTCACTAAACAGTCGTACAGATGCTATGGTTCCCATCTAGTACAAACATACATCACAATCCCACCAATCTCACCAATCTCACTAAACAGTCGTACAGATGCTATGGTTCCCATCTAGTGCAAACATACATCACAATCCCACCAATCTCACCAATCTCACTAAACAGTCGTACAGATGCATCACAATCCCACCAATCTCACCAATCTCACTAAACAGTCGTACAGATGCTATGGTTCCCATCTAGTGCAAACATACATCACAATCCCACCAATCTCACCAATCTCACTAAACAGTCGTACAGATGTTATGGTTCCCATCTAGTGCAAACATACATCACAATCCCACCAATCTCACCAATCTCCCTAAACAGTCGTACAGATGCTATGGTTCCCATCTAGTGCAAACATACATCACAATCCCACCAATCTCACCAATCTCACTAAACAGTCGTACAGATGCTATGGTTCCCATCTAGTACAAACATACCACAATCCCACCAATCTCACCAATCTCACTAAACAGTCGTACAGATGCTATGGTTCCCATCTAGTGCAAACATACATCACAATCCCACCAATCTCACCAATCTCACTAAACAGTCGTACAGATGCTATGTTCCCATCTAGTACAAACATACATCACAATCCCACCAATCTCACCAATCTCACCAATCTCACTAAACAGTCGTACAGATGCTATGGTTCCCATCTAGTGCAAACATATCTGCCAGCAACCTTTTTTTTATGACCTCGATATTTTCAAACAATAATTTGAATTGCCGTAGCATAAAAGAATAAGTAATCGTGGCCCCTTGCTACACGTATTTAATTGATTGGTGGAAGCTAGATCACGTGACCAATGCAATAAATAAACAAATAAGTCCACATAAACCTAGATACCCGAATTTAGATATTACGACAAAGAATCATTCAATATTTCCGATAACAATATGACACTCAATGGTTCCATGTTTGACGTCATCTCTCTCTCTTAACAGAATCAATCACGTGCTTAAAAACTCAGTGTTCTGTGAACATTTTTCTTTCACCCACACCAAATACATCGAACACCAACGACTACTCCACAGTGTTCACAGTTCAAGTTATCTAAAATGACCTGCCCCCCGTAATAAGAACCCCATGCCTCCCCCAACAAAACAAGAGTGCATGCGACTATGTATATCAGATCGAGGCTCAAAAACCTCTCCTTGGTCAGTTGTCCTTGCGACGTCTCCATTGTGTGTGTGTGTGTGTGGTTATTCCCGTGTGTACGGGGAATGTGCGGGGCGTAGATACGGTGTCAACGATTTACGTTCTATTCAAACAAAGGGTCAGAATTGTGAAGTTCGAGGGTGCGTGAATGTCAATGTATCTATGTCCTTTGGGCATTCCCAGTCTAGCACTTACACGTCTAGAATAGCTTACCCATTTGTTGCCTTGCTTGACTTGTCCCACCCTTCAAAACTCTTGTACATATATGTAAGTAAAAAAAAAAAAAGAAAAAGAGAAAGCCTTATATAGGTATAAATTGAAAAGGGGCGGGTGGGCCTGGAAGGGGCGGAGGTCATCTGTAACCTCTGGTAGATGACAAACTATTTAGCTGCCAGAACCGATACAGTTCTTGCTTGACTTGTCCCACCCTTCAAAACTCTTGTACATATATGTAAGTAAAAAAAAAAAAAGAAAAGGAGAAAGCCTTATATAGGTATAAATTGAAAAGGGGCGGGTGGGCCTGGAAGGGGCGGAGGTCATCTGTAACCTCTGGTAGATGACAAACTATTTAGCTGCCAGAACCGATACAGTTCAGCAAGAGGGAACACCGGCCGCTTCCTCATTTTGGGATATTCGCAAGAGAGTTTTGACGCCGAGATCTGCCGTTAAGAATTGTTTGGTGGGAGCCGGCCAGGAGAGATCAGAGAATTTGAGCATGTCTTTGGAGGACCAGATTTGAAGAAAAGAAAAAAAGAAGATAAACTGCTATGGTAAATTATTTTAGTTCAATGTCCAAATGTGATCATTACAATTTCGATTTCAGCTCGATATGCCATTAATGATTGGTGTTTTGAAAAAGGGGGGGGGGGACATTGCGTTCACTTATCTTTAAACACGCTACTGTCAAAGTACTTTTACTGTATTATAAAAGTTCCGTTAGATTTTTTGCAACAACAGATGCAATGATAAAACTGCGTGTTTTTTCCTTTGCTGTTTTGCTTGTTTGTTTGTTTGGGTTGTGTGTGTTGTGTTCTTTGTTTGTTTTGGTTTTGTGTGTTGTGTTTTTTGTTTGTTTTGGTTGTGTGTGTTGTTTTTGTAATTCTTTCATCGTAACTCCGCTTTTATTTTAGTTTAAATGACCGTATATTTGTTAATAGTTTTGTAACGATATTATAATACGAAAAATATTATAGTGTAATCCTAATACAGTGATATTTTTAATCTTTTTTTAAAATTTGATTAAATGGCTGAAGTTGTGTTGAAGTAGCCTGATTAAAGTAGCCTGATTGAAGAAGCCCGATTGAAGTAGCCTGATTGAAATAGCCCGATGCTGACACAACTAGCCGAACGTTAAAAAGTCAAAGAATGTCTATCAACCGGACGTATCCATTTACCTCAAGACCAAAAGAATCGATCTGATCAAACTAATCTCATCATTTTCGTTGCGTGTTTAGGTCAATACCATTGATTCATCGCTATTTAGTTCAATATAAAATGTTCAAGTCATTCAAAACTGAACTTTCCGCCATTTTCCGCTACCCAACTTTGACGATATAAATGATGGTTAGATCACTTTCTAAATCCGATTATTATTGATATTTTTGTGTTCTTTTTACTCACTTTAAATATAATGTTGATTTTTGTTTACAATACACAATTGGTGACATTCTCTGTTGTGGATAGTTCGGCTCTCTGATTTCCTAATGAGTGGACAACAGTTCGCTTAGTGGCGCAGGTAGGACATGCTATGTGTGTAAATCCCTCAAGTGAATTGTGTTTTAGAGACGGTTTCAGTTTAGGAATATCGCCTAATTACAAATTGACCTTTTAACATAATTATAAGATCATATTACTAAATAAATTATATACATTCAACAAGAGGGGAGCCCTTGTAATTTTATGAAATGATGTGAACTATTAGCTGATGTAAACAAAAACAAAAAAATGGATTTGTAGGTCATTCCAAAATGTATCTGCCGAATTAGAAAGGCTTTGGTATAAGAAAATGTTCAGGTGAAGCACAGGTGTTGTAGGCATGGCGCGCAAATGCTATTGTCTTGAAAGTTGTTGAACACGAAAAATGGAGTTTTGAAAAATAAGCATTTTTAAAAAGAAACGTGATTCTATTTAAGTGTCATTATAACACAATACAAACATCCACAATTTTATTTACGTCTCTGCCAGTAACGCCTTTGAGCTGCGTCCGGTAGAGTTAGCACGCGCTGTCTGTTTACGTTTCAATAACGTTGGGTTGAAATGTCTCGCAACTATTTTCAAACATTACTTTAGGAACGTACCTGGCACTAATAACGAGTTAACGTCAGTGAACGTATCACTAAGTCTTAGTGTTGCTTGGTAAGTTAAACATTACAACGCTTCCCTTGTTGTTCTTGTAACTGAGCTCATTTTCTTCTTTTGAAATTAGTGGGGGTTTTCCACCCACTCAGTACTCTGTTTCTCGCCAGTCAATAATTGGTTCCTAAGACAGTCTGATAGGTTCCTAGCCAGTTCTTGATAGGTTCTCTATCAGTCAATGATATGTTCCTCACTAGAAAATGATAGTTCCCCCACAAGTCAGTGGTTGGTTCCTTACTAATTAACGATAGTGCCCCATGAGTCAACGATAGACAGGTTCCCCCATAGGTCAATGATTGGTTCCCCACCAGTCAGTGATAGGTTCCTCACCAGTAAATGTTAAGCTCCCCACAACAACGTTAGTTGCCACGTGAGTCAGTGGCATCAGTAAACTAGGTTCCCTGCTATTCCATGGAGAGACTTGACAAGCCGTTGAAATTCATCAGTAAACTAGGTTCCCTGCTATTCCATGGAGAGACTTGACAAGCCGTTGAAATTTATCAGTAAACTAGGTTCCCTGCTATTCCATGGAGAGACTTGACAAGCCGTTGAAATTTATCAGTAAACTAGGTTCCCTGCTATTCCATGGAGAGACTTGACAAGCCGTTGAAATTCATCAGTAAACTAGGTTCCCTGCTACTCCATGGAGAGTTTTGACAAGTCGATGAAATTCATCAGTAAACTAGGTTCCCTGCTGTTCCATGGAGAGATTTGACAAGTCGATGAAATTCAACAGTAAACTAGGTTCCCTGCTATTCCGTGGGGAGATTTGACAAGTCGATGAAATTCAACAGTAAACTAGGTTCCCTGCTATTCCATGGAGAGACTTGACAAGTCGATGAAATTCATTAGTAAACTAGGTTCCCCGCTGTTCCATGGAGAGATTTGACAAGTCGATGAAATTCATCAGTAAACTAGGTTCCCTATAACTATTCCATGGAGAGATTTGACAAGTCGATGAAATTCCACTGTAAAAACCACGCTTTGCAACCGTCCACATATGTCAACTAATTTTGTTCTCTGTTTCTCCAACAGGGCCCGATACCTCCTTCAATATTTTTCCCCGTTTCGAAGAAAGATGATGACGTCACCGAGCCGGTCAAAGTGAAAAGAAAATGCGGTCGACCGAGAAACCCCATCCCACGTCACAAGAGGGAGTCTCACATCAACGCTGAGCACAGGCGCCGGGGCAAGATTCAGGTACAAACAGCACCAAACAAAGCACTGGCAGCTCTACCAAACACAAACGTCTCTAAAAAAAACCACACACACACGCGGTACTTACAAAACGCCAACAGTGCTTACAAAACACAAAAAGTACTTACAAAACACAAACAGCCCTAACAAAGCACACACGGTACTTACAAAACTAAATCTATGTTCTGTCAATATTTCACAGGAGATGTTTAAGTCAGGGCCGCCAGCGGGAACTTTTGGGGGGGGGGGGGCAGCGGGAACAGTTCGGGGGTAGAAGGAGCAAAGATCAATAAAAGATCGTTCTGAATTGTTTAATTCCATACAATTTGGCCATATTTAAAAACGGTGCTTTCGGTGGGGCGATACCCAGTAAAAGAACATTGTTAGGAGTCACGTGAAACATGGGGGCTGTTCCCGCCCGCTGAAACATTTCGGTTTATGCGATGATACGTCTTAACGTGACTTTCACGTGACAGTAATGTGACATTAACGTGGCATTACCGTGACAAAAGGGTCCAAGGCAACCGCACTCGGTGAGAGCGATTGGTTTTAATTAACCCGTTCATTCATCTGAGTGAGTTTGTGTCCAGTATTTTATGGGAAAGGGTTCGAACCCTTCTAACTACCGGCTTTCGCTTGTAGCGCCTAATCCGATACAGGCTTAATCCACTTTGAAATGGCACTGTTTCTCGGCCTTTGTTGGGAGTTAAATCTACCCCCATGGGCTGATTGTGTCAAGCGCTCTACACGATGTGTTACCAACCTTTCGCTGATCTGCCAGTTTTGACGTCTTAATCTCTTATAATCCATGACCTTGAACCTGTAATCAGGTAGTTTTGTATACGTTTAAAAATATTATTATAAATATATATATTTCAATTTTTTTAAAGAAATCTTTTTTAGTTCCTTAATACTTAATAAGCATTCCAAATATTTAAGAAAAAAACTTTGACGTTGAAAACCCAGCCAGGAACAAATCAAATATTTAAAGACTAATTTTGTTGGGCTAGCTGTTAGGTTTTTTGGATGGTGTATTTGTGCATGTTGTATTCCAAACAACGGAGAAGCCAAATAGTAGACATGCCCATGAGTCCGACAAGCAAACAGAAGCGGGAAGTCGGTCAAAAAGTCTTTTATGTGGCTCCAGAGATTAGAAATTGCATGTTTGCTGGTTGACAAGATGGCGGTGTTGACTTTTGATAACGGGGTGGAGGTTTTCTTTTCTTCTCAACATGGAATCAAAGTCAACCAAAAAGAAGGCGTTGAGCTTGTAGCGGTTACTGGCGGTAATCGTGTCGCGGTTACTTTAATCGTGTTGTGGTTACTGCATTATTTTGTTATACTAAATATATTGTAAAGTGCGTTCAAAAAGAAATTTGACGCAAAATTTTAACGTGTGAACTGAAAAAAAGATTCAGCCCAATTTCCGTTCGATCATATTTCCGTCGATCAATTTTCCGTCGACGAAATGTCTTTCAAACAAATTTTCGGTAATCACTTAACATAAAAAAACGTATAGAGATGTGATGACGCCTTAGTTACGTCATGACCAGACCTGAAACTGTCAGAGATAACATGCCAGTGTAGAAAATAGAGGGGTCGTCAATAGCGCGCTTAAAAGAGCTGGTTAAGGCGTTAAAAGAGCTGGTTAAGGCGTTAAAAGAGCTGGTTAAGGCGTTAAAAGAGCTGATTAAGGCGTTAAAAGAGCTGGTTAAGGCGTTAAAAGAGCTGGTTAAGGCGTTAAAAGAGCTGGTTAAGGCGTTAAAAGAGCTGGTTAAGGCGTTAAAAGAGCTGGTTAAGGCTTTAAATGAGCTGATTAAGGCGTTAAAATAGCTGGTTAAGGCGTTTAAAATAAAAGAGGTGGTTGGGGGCGCAGTGAAGACCCGGGATATCTTTAAAAAATAATTTAGATTTTGAGAGGATCCCTCAAGTCGAGCACAGGCATAATATATAAAAAACACAATGTCTTGGAATTATGCCTAAAGAATTGAGGAAACACCTCTTCCTTTCAAGTTTACGTTAGCCACTCTTCTGAACAAGCGTTATAAAGAGCCCCTCCCTCATTTCATTGCTTTGTGTAAGAGTCCAAACTATTTTAAGTACTGCAATGTCAAACATTACAATGTGCCGCGTTGCGTGACCTTGATTGCCTCATCCAGAGCTGATATGTGACAGTTTTATAGCGGTAAACACTCTTTTTTTTCTTTGCAGAACGGTTTTCGAACTCTGAAATGTTTAGTGCCCAAGTATGATCAAAGTTCAGGCAGAGACAGCAAGGCCGACATTCTATTTAAAGGTAGGTCGCTCTTCATGAAAGTGCGCTGCTACACAGTCCACCGTTATGTGAGGTTTGTGAACTTGATCTGTTTAAAGATTTGGCTCGTTTTTTGTACAATGCATAACGGGGGACTGAAAACTAGTTTACAAAGAAAAACGATACCAGCGCTATTGATATTAACACTATTCAGATAAATTAAACTATTAAATTTATATAGAATACAAAATGAAGTTGACAGAAATAACTTACAGCGTACCAAGTGGAAAAAGTACAATCCTCCAAAGATACAAATATTCATTTAGACACCACATACACACATAAAGAGTACAATCTTGGAAGTATATTACCGCCCGTAAATGTCTGGCGGAAAAAAAAAGGAAAAAATCTCTCTCAGGGTGGGAAATCTGCCGGCTTATTTATAGAGATTGAGTTAGAACCCTCCGATAACAATTTTTTTTTTTTAAAATTGCACCACCTGATAGCATTCTTTAGAACAAATTGGAACGTAAACAACCTTTTCCCAACTAAGGGAGGGATGGATAAAAAGGATAGACGCAACACATTTAATCAGTGACGTCAATATCAAAATATATTAATAAAAACTAGGGCAACTTACAGACTATAACATGTATACAAAGATCGCATGAATGTAAGATTATTTTGATGAAATTTTGTCTTTAACTAGTCATATATTTTTACTTTTAACTTTGTTTATATTTAACCAAATTTTGTCTTTAACTAGTCATATATTTTTACTTTTAACTTTGTTTATATTTAACCAAATTTTGTCTTTAACTAGTCATATATTTTTACTTTTAACTTTGTTTATATTTAACCAAATGTTTTTGACAAATATTTCGGGGGATGAAGTAGTATTTTCGGAAGATGTAAACAAGGTTTAACCAGATATGTGAACATACAGCAGTTATGTATGAAAAACATGGAAGTAATTGATTAAAAATATGGTAGTAATGGATGCCAAACGAAAAAAAAAACCCAACTTATTCCAGGTTTTAGGAATAATTGGGTTAGGGATTTTAAAACTGAAATAAAGCAAGATGACCATTGTCTCACTGCCTGTCCTGTCCTCAGCTGTTGACCACTGCAAACTGTTGCAACATGACATTAACGAATTGTCCCTTTCAATGGATGCAGTCAGGGCAGAAAAGGAAACCTTAGGCGACGACATCAAGTAAGTTTGTGTGGTAACTACATGACGTTGTAACCACATGACGTTGTAACCACATGACGTTGTAACTACACGACATGGTCATTACATGACGCGGTAACTACATGACGCGGTAACTACATGACATGGTCACTACATGACGTTGTAACTACATGACGTTGTAACTACATGACGTTATAACCACATGACATGGTATCTACATCACATTATAACCCAGATGATTCTTAACTTCATTTTCAATAAGTCTTGAGATTACATTAATACTTTCAGGGTTTAAGAGTACAATAATACTTAAAGGGTTTGAGAGTACATTAATACTAAAGGGTTTGAGAGTACATTAATACTTAAAGGGTTTGAGAGTACATTGATACTTATATAGGGTTTGAAAGTACATTAATATATAGGGTTTGAGAGTATATTAATACTTATAGGGTTCCAGTAAATATCTGTGAAAATTTATATTACTTTAAATATTTTATTTATTTATTTTTAATATGGAGTCCATGACTTTCACCAGGCAACACCATTTTTTTTTCTTTTCTCAGAAATTACCAGAAGTTGGTTCCAGACCCGAATGTGTACGACCAGTTGGCTTCAAACATCAATGATCGCTTCGAGGATTACGTCCATCAGAGAAGCAACGAATATAGGACATTTTGGGCTGTATCCTTTCAGTTGAGACTGAGAATGTGTTGTGTTCAAATGAATTAGTTGACACTTGAACTTTCATTTGAGACTGAAAATGCGTTGTGTTCAAATGAATTAGTTGACACTTGAACTTTCATTTGAGACTGAGAATGCGTTGTGTTCAAATGAATTAGTTGACACTTGAACTTTCATTTGAGACTGAGAATGAGTTGTGTTCAAATGAATTAGTTGACACTTGAACTTTCATTTGAGACTGAGAATGCGTTGTGTTCAAATGAATTAGTTGACACTTGAACTTTCATTTGAGACTGAGAATGCGTTGTGTTCAAATGAAGTAGCTGAGAGACTTTCATTTGAGACTTTGAGATTGAGTTGTGTTCAAATGAATTAGTTGACAGACTTTTATTTGAGACTGAGAATTTGTTCTGTTCAAATGAATTACTGGACATTAAGAGCTGAAATTGTCTAGGCTATGCGATAGTCTGCGTACCCATCTCATTTGTATATTCTTATAAGTTCATTCCTTAAGTCAGTTCAAGTTTACATTCATCTTGCGTCCCTTGTTTGAGAGCTATAAGACCAGAGTTTCTGGGACTTCCATTGACGACTTACTGAGATCTGTGTCTGAATGGACGGAGAATACCCTGACTGTGGCCAATCTTGGGGATGGTACGTACAATAGATACACATTAAAAAAAACTTTCACATACAGAAGTGATTACAGTTAAAAGACAGACACGTATACATACATAAACACAACTACGTATACTACGAAACACACGCTATTTGCTGATAGTATGCGCACATTTACTTACATGTTTTGTGTGTACAAGATACAAAGATTATTTTATTTGTTTAAACATGGTGCTGTTTATCTCTATCAAGCTCTACACTTTATACCATATTTATTTCACCATAAGACATAATTTTAATGATACTTATCCCTCTTCTCACAGCCTGTATGACACTGCTCCGAGAGGTTGGGTCGGACGCGGCTGTGAGTCGGGACCAAGGCTCGTCTGTAGATGCTCAGGTCGATAGTCGCGGGGCATCAGAAGACCTCCCGTCAAAGTCAGTCATGCACCGTGCCGAAACTGATGCTCAGATCTGCAGTTCTAAAAACGCCGACCCCCTGGCCTACAACAGCCCAGTGATGATGACGCCTCATGTTTACAGCCCAACCGTGGCGAGCACCTGCAGCCCGCCCGTGGGAGGGATTCACACCTATGGTACACACGCCACCGCGCACTACAGTCCAAGCTCTGTGCCGTTCAGCCCTGACCACCATTCCATCAATGCCGGGGACGCGCTGGCGATGAACCCCGGGATGTCCAGTGGAGCGAGCGACAGCGTCTGTAGCAGTTTGGCTGACGACAGCCGAATATTGTCCAACCCTAGCCCCCATCTAGCCATCCAGCACTCAGAGGTTCTCCCGTTTAACAGCCCGTACACAGAAGTGCAGTACAGCCACGAGCACGATCAGCCCCTCCAGCAGCAAGGCGACTATCACGGATCGAATCCCGGTGGTTTAGATTTCTGGCAGTCACCCCAATCTCACTACACCGGCTACACCAACCAGCCCCAGCCAAGCCACTATCACACTGACCACATTGTGCCAACGACGGGTAACTTCTTGGGCGTCGGGAAAGGCCACTGGTCAGCACAGTCGTACATGGCGGAGGAGTTAGATAACACGCCATCAATGTATTACGCCAATCTGAATGGTGTTTCCGACAGAGACACCAAGCATGACTCCTACAGTTCTCACAACGCAGCACCGCCGTCTCCATTGGGTTCATCCCCTGAACAGGAGCACAGATCCCACTTGACTTATCAGTATCACCGACAAAAAAGCTATTCGTTGTCCTCCACTGAGAGCGACGGCTCTCTTCTCAGCATAGGTTCCTACTCCAGGCCAGCGGCTGAACTATTTAAAGACCAGGAGAAATACTGCCAGCTGTCACCCTCGACCGACGGCTGCCTCTCTCCAGGCTCGAACGGTCAACTCGACAGCCCGTGTGCCGGCATAGAGAGAGCTGCGCAAGAGTTGTCCTTTCACGATGCCCCCATTGGCTTAGACCATTACAACAAGATCCAATCTAATGAGAACAACTACTACACTGTGTGTGTGAACAGCGGTCAGTTAGCGCCATCACTCCCCAGTTACAGAGACACATTCGGGTCACGAGACCTTCAGAAAAATAAACAATCTCTACCAAATCTTGACGCGGAAGTCCCCCTGATAGCCAGTGGGACCAAGCGTCTCAAAGAAGGAGCGGGGGTTACCCTAGCAACCAATGGGACCAAGCGTATCAAAGAAGGAAGTATTTGGCAAAAAATTCGGAAGATGGGATCGTCATCCCTACTAGCTGAGCTTCTAGCACCAACAAAGAAGTTTGGGTTATCCCTGGCCTCCTCCAGGCCAGGAGACAACTTGACATATTCTAAAGAATACCCTGTCTCGGAATGCAGCACCACTAGCCTTTCATCCAGCTCACATCAGACATTCTCGGACAACAGGCCACAGACGCCACAATCCATCCATCAGTTTTGGGATAACCCCTCTGATGGGAGCTTCCTGCCATTCCCAGCCCAGTCATCAAAAAGCACAAATTCAAAGCACACAAAACCTGCCATGACCTCTTTCGATATCAAAATGAAAGAACAAATTAACGCATTACCTCAGCTCGCATCAGCTGGCCATGCTTTATCTGACAAGTATTCATACACACAAACTGATCATAATGATTACAGTAGGCTCGAAGCAAGGATTCTTTTAGGGGAACCACCATTTTCCGGTCTAATAACAGAAAACCACAGACAAAGAAAAGACGAAATGCTTCTTTACTCTCAAGAAAGCATGGCTTCATCTCATCATATTTTGCAGAACTGTTCTTTTTCACGTGATCCAAGCTTTGATGACTCTAACTCTAAACCAAACCGTGGATTCCCCGGTTATGATACGACCTCTTCCATAATGCGATCAGCAATCTTTGGCGCGCCTGATGGCATTCCTATCATGTCTGGTGATACCAAAGATGGCACAGCTCCTCTTGCTTCATCCGAAAGTTCTGGGGCGACCACCTTAAACAGAAAAATCTCGTTTGAAGACAGCTTTCCCGATCAGCGTGCCCAGAGTAGGGTAGGTGCCTTTAAGAGGGTCTGCTACTGGACAGAGGACCTCCACGGCGGTAATGGAATCCATCTAGGTTCCCCCAATTGTGGGATAGAGACCAGTCTACCCAGGAGTGATAACCCTGACAGAAAACCAGTCGAAAGTCAAGGGTGATTGATTCCCTTGGAAATGGGACTCCTTGTACATATTGTATGATTTCTTCATTAAGTGTATTATCCTTTTAAACTGTTACATGTGACCAGCTTGTTTTATATATTGAAATAAAAATGTTAACGTGTTCAGCCATTTAATTAAACATTTATGTACAATTATAGTTTCTGTCTCACTGAAGATTGTATGTAATTCCATAGTATTTCATCAAGTTCTAGTAATGTAATGTTCCTTGGCTTTAGAGAGATGTTTAAGATTATGCTGATGTTAAATATGTTATACAGCATTGTTACATGCTACAGCAGTGTGATGATTAATGTTGGGGCATGCCATACCACACATTTAGTTCATATTAATGTATAAACGGGAATGTATATGCAACCTTTATGCGCATATGTCTTGCTGGGTACACAAATAATAAACTTTATTTAAAAAAATTTAATTTAAAAAAAAAACATACAAAAAGCATTGCCAGCCTGTTTTGGGTGACTGCTTTGAGCCCACAATAGAAAAACTAGCAAATTGTATGATTTTTACGGTGTAGTATTTAAAAAAATAAGTCAAAGCTGTGAAGACAAAAAGCCCCAAAATATTACACCAGTGGGGCTTTCTGAATGTATTAGGAAGTAAAAGTTTCTCTGGATTGAACTCATTGTATCAAGTCTGATCAAGACAGAAAAAAAAAAAATTCCAAGAACATTATGTTTAGCAGCCAAATGGGCAAGCTCATCATGGGCAGCCATTGAAAGCAGACATAAGCTGTGTCCCAGGGAATGAGGCACACAATTAGTTTCTGTCAGGGCACCATAAAGAACAGGACACCCACTGGAAAGATTTGTCAAACCACCTGTACAGACATGAGGACACTATTATTTGACATCATATACATTATCATTCTCTGTTCATTCATATTGATCAAGTTCTGTGATTGCTGTTCATTATAAATGAAATCATTTGGCCTGCCAACATTTTGACTCCTGCAAATAGCATCTCACAATATTTAATTCTTATTAATGTGCAATGTACAACTCTTGTGTGAATATTTGTTATTTGAAGAAAAACTCCATTTTGAGGAAATAATAAATGGAAAATTTTCTATTGTTACATTATTCATTCATTTTATTTCATTTCATGTTCTGAACTGTGGTCTGGTCCTTGCCCATTCAATAGAGGATAGTCAGATTCTAAATATCTAGAGAAATGGTCTTCAAACTATTTCTAATTGGAGGAAGGGGCACCTACATTTTAGTATTCAGTATATCTTACTATAAAACGATTACAACCAAGAATTGCTTTAATGAGTGATTCCCTTTAATTGTTTTCATTTCACTGGATGGTGTGTGATCACTGCAACTGCAAGGACACTTACACAAATGATCTGAAGGTGGCCATCACCAACATCAACGCCTGGTAGGGAGGGCTAGAGATATGGCAGACCATTGACCAGTTGTAAGGGTTATTATTGTTTGCTTGAGGAGTGCACTTGACTAGAGCCGAATTGTTTAAAGTGAGGGAGAGCTGCTCAATTCATCAGCCTCAAATCTCTCGTCCTTTCATATTTGACCCAATGTCAAGACACCTGGAAACAGATGCCACTATGCAATAGATAACACACACTGCTGGTTATTGAAGAGACGTAGTGGGGGATTGACCTGCAGGGAGGGCTATAGATACAAATGGATGGCTGACTTATCTATGATAAAGATGGAATCAAACAAAAGTTATGTATTTTCTTAGCTTCAGTTCTTTATTGGTTTGTGTGCAGTGTTTCTGGCCACTGAGGTTTGCAAAGATAAGAGCAAACAAATGGAGATACATAACACAACATACAATTATGTCAATGCATTTTGAAACATACCTTGAAACTTTATTTCGTCTGTATATCAATTAGGTCTAAACAAAATCATCAATCCCACCCTCCCATCAAACAATTGGCGAGCGCATTTCAAAATCCTTGTGGATCAACTATTAAAAATCTGGCCAAAGCAATAAATCAATTTAATGAACAAGCACAAAATCTCTTTCATTATTTTTTAAGACTTGTTATTAAACAGTTCAGTTGCACACATTTCAAATAATAAAAGTCATTCCACTGTTTTTGAAAGTATTATGAAAGTATTATCATGTTTTCAAGATGAGATAATGTAAAATAGTTGAGCACATTTCTTTCAAGAAACCTACTGGACAGCAAGCAACAAAAAAATTAAAAAATATGTATCACACCAACTACACCTAGAAAAATTGTGGTTTCACTTCCTTCCAGGCATCCAGTCATTAGCAAGAATTTGCTCTTCTTAAGAAATCTGTGACCATGAAAAACTAGCGTTGAGATCTCTCTTTATAGACACTAAAGTATTACTGTACAAAATTCTTGTATAATAGTTTCCACACCAACATAAGAGTTGTTTACCAACCTCAATGTTTTCGGTTGTCTCTGATGACAGGACAAAAGAAATAAAAAACACTAACCTACAACTTAGGTTCATTGATGAACTGCTCTCACTTAGGAATCCTCAAGTTTAAGATTAGTTCACAGATGGGTGTGGAGAAACACTCATTAGAAAACATTGTTTTTTTTAAAAAATGAAACAAAGACTATCAACTATAAAAAAAATCTCAATATTAACTTCTATAATTAGAGTTACCTTAGTTGAAATTATTCACCATGGATACAAGCAAAGAGAGGTCATAAATTAAATCAGCCTAAAGAGATGGCAAAACATACTTCTGATTTCAGTGAATTTTGTCAGACCAAATCATTTGAAATGCGAAAGTGCTTCTGTGAATTGCTAGTTTAGTCATTCTTTTTTCCTTCTTATTTATGCGGTCTAGACTTAGAATACAGTTTATTGCAACAAAATGTTTGGGCAAACAAGAAAGAACTATATCTACAGTTTCACAGCATTAAATTGAATGGTGTTAACATGGTAACACTGAGCCCATGGCTAGACAGCCCTATCATTTGTTCAGGTCCAGCTGACGGTCTCTGCCTCATATCATCAACCTCACTCAAGATCCAAAGCTGCTCTCCCAGCAGACGAATGGCTGTCCTCATCCGTGTAGATTTTCAAGGCTCGTTCTTTACGGGGTGAGCAGGAAATTCTGTGGTTTTGACGAGATGACCTGTGAAAACATTATTCAATAAATTAAAATGACTCTCCATCTGGTACAAACAGATAGGTGCATAAAATTTGTATCATTTAATGTGGTATTCGATAACAAAGTGTTATCTGGCATATAGAAATAAAGACAGCACATTATTTGTAACCTGTTTTCCTTTTGTTGAATTTCTTTCTTTTTTTCATCAGACAACTCTATTAGTTCTTCACGATTATCCCTAAAACAATGGATATAATGATAAATGAGAATTACTTGATTCGCCAACATGTTATATTTTTTAAAAGCTTAAAAACTTTTAAAATTCGACCATAGATCAGTTGAAATGCTCAGTGTTCCCAACAGTATAAAAGCTGAGTTTATCTCTAAGGACAAAGCTAAGTCAAAGTTGGGCCTGACATTCAGTGCTAAGTGAAGTCACAGATAATGTATGTGCTTAAATCTGAGTACCAAACTACAAGCAAGTCAGTGCACTCTGCCTTCTAGCACAGGTTACATGAGTCAACATCAATGGAAGGCAATAATAACAGGCAGGAAATAAATAGAGCATAAAGTCAAAAAACTGACACAGGTATCAGTTAATATGATAAAAGGCTGTCATCACTAGAGATGTTCAATTATTTTTAAATAACTCTGGATGACCAGTCAGAGGTTTTAACTTACTCAAATCAAGCATATTTAACACCATTTAAGTTTTAGTCTCACAGTTTCATAAAATGAACTCAGACTTTTTAAAAAAAGTGAGTTTAGTGATCTTTTGAGCTAAGGTACTTGTAGCAATCGACACAAGCAGCATTCAATAACTGGAATATAGACTTGCAGATAGGCCCATATTGGAATTCGCAAAGGGAAGGTTAGCTTGCATAATATTGTAAAGACAACTTGAAACATACATTTTTGATATTACAAAATCCTTGAAACTTTTATAGTGTATTCCAAAATATACATCCTAATTGTATTATTAATCAATATCAAAATGTTACTATGAGAAACCATGTAAATCAAGGGTACACTGTCTCTGTGTGAAATGGCATACTTATGTTTGCCTTGACCTTATTTGGACTCTCCCTCATAGAAAAAATGTATCAAGGTAGAATCCTTACTGACAAATGACTGACCTGTAGTAAATGACATGTCCATCATCACAGATATACAATGGCCACATGTTTAGTGTGGTCACATGAGGGTTCCACTCCAGGTCTGTGTGGATCTCTAACACAGACACCTCACATGGGAAAGTTCCTTTACCCTGGTATAAGATATAAAGCCATTAAGACATTGGTGTCATTCACTGCCTGGCATTGATTCACTTAATATGTTAGCAGTCTTATTTAGCTTCACCTAAATGTACTGAACAGATCATCTAGACTAGAATATCAGGAAAAGATTGATTTTCTTAAATTATAAGAGGACTGGTGAGAATATCTTCATCCTAAATTATTATAAATAATTGCTTCAATCCTCAGACACTTTAAGAAACCCTACCTTAGCAAACTCCACATTATCAACAGGAATTCCACTCAAAGTAGATATCTACAACATAAAAGAACCTGTCATTTTAGTAATGTTATAATTTCATTTAGATAATTAATGTGCAGAGCTTATAAGTTAAGAAAACAACCAAAAGAAATTTGAAGAAAGTCTGTTTATGACCTAACTACATCTCTAATCAAAGCCACGATTTTCTTAATTGAGGTGGTTTCATTGGTTGATTTGATATGTCGAAGTGAAGGCCTACACTAATGGAATATTGACATACCTAAATTAAATGTCATCTAAAAAGACTTACTTTTGTCTTCAGTTCCTCCACAGTTTGATGTCTGAGTACCACTTCACGGAATGGATCAATATGATGTGTGGACGGATGCCAGTGCCGAACATAAATGGCCAACTGACATGTGTCTTTCAGTTCTTCTGGACCTGTAAAAAAAAAAGTATTAACTTATCATCTCATTGAAACCTTCATTTCAGAACACTGATCATTTATTTCAAAGAGATTTCCAAAACAACCCTTCTTTTAATTACTTCATCCAAACTAGCTCTACACACCTTCCAAAAGCTCCAAGAAAATCTCCCAGTTAGGGTAGATGGGGATTTCATTCTCATAAACATGGCTGTCAAGGTAAACTGTCCCTGGATTAGTCCAGGACTTCTTCCTCAGACGACACCTGAAGAATAAGGACAGCATTCAAAAAGGATTGTGTATGTTGTCAATAATCCTTTACAGCATGACTAAGGTAACTATAATAGTTGAAAAAATTCTTAAATGATATAGTTGTACACTTCATAATCTTAAATCTAAAAAAATACCAGGACATCTTTTGAAGTCCATAATAAAGTGCAAGAGAAATTTTTTAGTTTAAATGATTAAAAAAAATTTTGTTTATGGATTTGTGTCTTCAATAATTACAGATAATGTGAAAAGATTGTCATGACCACGAGTTACCTTTCAATTGGAATGTCAAGGCCACACTGTTCCTTAATCTCGTCAATGACCAACAGTTTGGATTCTAACACAGTCATTCCTTTGGCAAATATTGTTTCGATAAGAAATTTACAAGGCTGTGGATTAAGATATACAATAATTTAAAAAAAAATATAATTTATTAGTCTAACATTTATTTTTCTTGATCATTGAACCATAATTCACACCAGAATTGTAGCATTAGTATTCAACACTTTAAGGTAGAATCATTGTTGTAACAATGTATCAAACTATGTTCAAATGTTTATTCCCCTGAAAAGTAACATTTGTGACAAAATTAGTCAGTCTCTGTTTATAAGCAGTAGAAGACAATTTTACATTCAGGTGGACCAAATCCAGTCTTATTGGTGAAAACTAGCCCATTCCACAGTCAAATTGGTAGACAGCTATTCCACAGTCACAATTATTTAAAATTTGTTAGCTGTTAGTCACTGCAGGCTTGATTCTCACTCCACCACCCCAAAAATTCATAAATCACTTAACCTCCTTTCATGTTATACGCTTACCTCAGCATCAGTAACACAAAGCTGAAAGACCTTGACCCTGTGCTCTCCAGGTTGTAAAGCTCTTCCCAATTTTATGTTGAACTATGAATACAAAAATATGGCTTGTGAGTTACATTATTGGATGATTCCAAATAGTTACAATTTGACATAACAAATATATGAAAAAATCCTACACATTAATTAAGTTAGGGTTTCAAGGTCCAGAATTGACAAACTTGTCCCATAACCTTCATTCAAAGATCTTTTCTTAAAAAGCTAATACCTATTTATTATCATATTCTAAAGGGAAAAAACTGAACTCGCCTAATTAAAGCATAGATAAAAAATTCTTTAATCACACTTCAGCATATACAATATGTAAATAATAGCCAGCTTATCCTTGTAAAGATATTGGTTTTTGGAAATAGAACACAAAAGTATGTACAATGTTATATATATACATAATAGCCACCATATGCTTGTAGAGATAAAACACAAGTATGTACAATGTTGAGTACATTTGATCAGCTGAGTTTTCAAAAGTTGCTTGAATTAATAATTGAAATATAGTAATCATAATGAATCATCAGGCAAAGACTGATGAGGAAATGTCACAGACAAAATATTTTAAATTATTCTGGGTCCCCAACCAGTTGTATCCAGTAGCTTTGAAAAAAACCAATATGTTCAGCTTGATTCATATATTCGAACAGTCCATTTAATACCTAAACAAATAATCAATCCTTTAATACATTTAAAATATTTCACTTTTTTTTTTTTTACTGCAGGCGTACTTCTTGGTCATCAATAAGTTTTTGGAGTTTAAGGACTTCCTTCTCCGTATCTGACGTCTTTTCTTGCAGTGCATTTGAAGCGCAGATAAAAGTGAAGTCTCTTTTAAGTTCAGCCTCGTTGGCCTTGCTGTTGGCTAAGGTAACTAGGCCAGGTTACATCTTCTTCCAAAGCTTTTTTAAAGTGATTTCAACTCCTGCACTTCATCTATCTCAAACTTTATTATTTTTTTTGGACTCAAGATGAATACATGTTTCTTCTTAGTGCTTTTCCAGATACAATATGTATTTCATTCTTGCTGATGAGGCAAAAATTAAAAACTCTTTTGTTATGGAAACTGTATGAGGTCCCCCACCTCTTCTCACTTGAATATATGTCACTCTTTGACCACAGACTATTTAAATTTTTGACAGTGACCTCTTTATTCTCAGGGAACCCTCTTTCTACTGTCGCCTGGCCATGTGGTAAGATAAAGAGTTAACCCACAGTTCAAAAACTCCTTTTTATTGGGGAAAAATTAATCAGCTCTGCTTTCAGATGGGGAGAAATATCTATGTTCCAATGAACTGGGTTGATGGTGGACATCTTTTTTGAGCCAAGATTGTGTCCCACTTAAACTCATTTTGCTTCAAACATCACTCTGAGGACTCTGGTACATTTAGCTTTTCCTTTCAGCATGTCATTTTCAGACCCCATGAGGCTTGTTCCAGCCAGAACATATTTCATATTTCTCAGTAGTGGGTATAAAATAGAAGATTTTTGTGATTATCTTCTTTAAAAAGGCAATTAAAAACGCCTTGCACTCTGTTCTTAAACTGGGACTGAATTTTGCAAAACGCTTTGAGCAGCGGCATATCCAAGAAAATGGTATGAGAGGAAAAATGAACTAACTTTCTTTACATCCCAAGATGCGAACATAAATAACCATTTGCTTTAACTGCATTTGTTTGTTCATTGTTTCAACAAACATAAGAACATAAGTAGAAGCTGCTCTTATTTTTTAAAAAGCATATTGGCAAAGTAGGGTGTTATACCAAAAATGCTCAGATATGCAGACTTCCTAACAGCACATGCAAACTGTTGTGCTATTTCACAAGTAGGAAACATGGCCTTGAAACAATCTGCAGTGTCTTTGGAAGAATTGAAGCTGTAATGGCTTTTTATACATTTCATTGTCTAAATGATTTCAGCTGTAAGCATTTGCGGCTTTGTGCAGAAAGACTGCATATTAACAGGTTTTGCTGTCCTTTCATGGCCATCAGAGGCCCTTGATGATGAAGGTACTGGGTCAGCATTATTAGCTGTTTTAAATATCCAATAAATTGAGTCCCAGGAATAGCAGCTTTCTCAATGTGCTTTTTCCCCTAATATAAAATTACCAATGTTATGAACATGAAGGTCCAGTCAAAATAAGTGCTGTTACTGTGTGATCACTCAGTAGTTAAGATTAATTTGATAGGCTTAAATAAATCTACGGACCAATCAACAAATTTCTTTCTTACAGGGTTCTGTGTAGTGATGGGATGATACCAAAATTTTTAACGATTCCGATACGATTCCGATTCTACCCAATTATCCTGATTCCCGATACGATTCCGATTCCTGGCCATTATTACATATATGTATTACTGTGCCCAGGTATTAACATATTTAATTAATATAAAAGTTGAGAATTGATTAGAAAAGTTTATTAACTTGCTATTGAAGTTTTACATTATGCTAGATAACAATGCCTTGTAAAGGTTTTATATAAACACATCTATCAATAATTCCATTTTAATAATACAAGATATAGCTAGTGTCTTTGATATAAATTTCAAAATGTGTATATAAAAAATGTTTATTAAATATACATATGAAATTATTATTCATGTTTTGCTGATAACGTGGTTTTAAATAAACTTCCTGCTGGTAATTAAAAATCTCTGAAAAAATAAAGAATATTATAACGCGAAACAAACTTTGCGCTGTCACCGGCTTACGGCAGTTAATCAGTTAAGAATCGTTTTGGTATCGGAATCGGGTCTGAATTATTCAGCTCCGATACCGATTCCTGATGCTTTGGAAAAATCCCGATATTTCGATTGTTCCGATACGATTCCGATTAATCGTCCCATCACTAGTTCTGTGCATTAAGAAAATCACATATAAAAATTAGGGGGGAGGGGGGAATTTTCCCCAAACTTTCAATTTAAAAAAAAAAAATCCAAAACATCTTAAAGACGGTGCAAACCCTGTTAGGTCTATTCAGTTTCTAGAGGAAAGATGTTGGTATTTCCTTCAAAACTATATACAGCATAATAAGAAAACCTTTATAATAAAAAAAATGTCAAAAAGTTTGTTTTCCCTTTCACTATGCTCTTATCAATACTTCTAAACATAATTGAAAACAAAATTACCTTTCCATCTTCAAAAAATGAAAGTGTATCAGTCAAACGCACACTCTCAAACTCTTGATTGTTGGAGTAGACTCTGTACACCTGATAGAAGTCAACATTTTTAAATTGTAAATAAAAAAGGTGAGGGGAAAAAGATAGATCATTTATATATAGAGGAGAGAGAGAGATAGAGATTTGGTTAATTTTAGGTTATTACGGAATAAAATATTTACTTCTCAATTTGGTTTTAATTCTAAAAAAGGCAACTATGTGGCAACCTATTAACTTTGTTGCAAATAATTAATTTAATGAATTGTCTTTAATCACAAATGTCTAAAATTTTGTCAGCTACAAGTATGATAATTAGTGCAATTGTAATCCAAAATAACAAATTAATTTTATTATTATTATTATTAAAAATATTGGTTTTATAGCGCAGTACCCCAGTCTAGGGCTGGTCTCACCAAGCTGTACATATAATTTAACAAACGTTATCATGAACTTAAAAATTAACATACATTAATTAAATATTTTTTAAAAAATGTATATTCACTCCACCCATTTCAGAACTATTTACATGTCAAGCCATGGACGGCACCCAGCAACATCGTTTATTGGTCAGAGGGGGAATCAGTCAGGACAGTAGAGTTTAAAGAGATGTGTATTGAGTGCAGTTTTGAAGGCTGTGATGGTCCATAACAGGAAATTTGATCGAAAGCCCATTTTTTAAATTCCATGCAAAGTTCGATGATGTCCTTTCGGATTTAAGTGGCCGAGTTTTTTTTTACTTAGGGTTTGGCTGCTTTACTTGGCTAACTGGTCCATTCTACCTAGGTATATATTTACCCATAGCTGGTAACAACATTGGACTCATTTCAACTGGCTACATCTTGGTTGAGAGCCATTGATTGTCATGGCCAAGACAAGAATTTAATTGTATCAAGAAAAATATACTTTGTTTTAAAAACAGTTCCACCATTATGTGATTGATGGTTTGGTTTATGTAAAATAAAATTTCAGTTGACTCAATGATCACAACTTAATGATAGACTTGGTATTATGATGAATAGTTACAGAAATATTATATTATTTGACCTAAATTGTATATCAGGGCATGAAATTGAAACTTCCCCTTTGTAACTGACTGGATCATAATAAAGATTTGAAAAAAATTGAAAAATAACGAACAAAAGAAATGCACATCAAACTGCATTAAAAATAATTATCTTTCAAATCAAGCAAACTCCTAGTGTATATGGATTAGTTTTGGTACACTTTTACCATTTGATTTAGTCTTTCAAAACTCAATAAAACATTAATATTCAAATAAGACAGATTTTGCTACGTCATGGTTAATTACATCACTTGTGTTCCAGCACCCATGACACCACTACTGTGTGGTACAAGTGATTCACACATGACAGCCATACTGATAAATATGTCCTTTCCTGGCTCAGGTTCTTCTTAAAATAGATCATGCTTCTATTCATGACAGTGACCTTGTTCTAAAACTATTATAACACACATGTAAAAGCTAAGCATATTCAGTAAGGAATTCATGACAAAGAAGACTGACCTTGAACAGATTACATCCAACTCCTACATAGGGTTGAAGGTGTTGTTTGAAAGCCCCAAGGGTTATTCTCTTGTCAACAGAAACTGTTAACACTGAAAAAGAAAGATTATTTTGATCATGGGTGTGTAGCAGAAGTTTTCAACCTTTCTTTAAGTCTTACAAAACATTGAAACTCAAATGGGTAAAGTTATCAAGCACTTATAAAAACAGATAAAGAATGCGTTGATAAGTAGCACCATCCTGGGAATACAAAGCATGCATTTTTATTATTTAAACAAGCACTTTAAATTTGACATTGGTTTTGAACTTATTTTATCTAACTCGTTAAGCTGTTAAAAATACTATGATTTTTTTTTTTTTCTAAATGTATAAGTTCTTGGACCAAAGATCCAGAAACTACAATCATTAATTTAGATCTCCCTAATTTTAATTTAAAGCACAATTTTAATATCCACTCAGTCTTAAATTCATTCTGAATTCCTTTTTTAGAGAATATAAATATTAGATTATAAAAATAACAGTAAAAAAAAACACATTTTCAAATCAGGGGACAGAAGAGCCAATTGAATTGTAGAATAGAAATCGAAGGGTTACCCGACATATAAAATAATGTTTTATACAACAGCTCCAATTAATGTTGTGATATAGTTGTTATAAAATTTAAGCAGTATTAGTTAATGGAATGATACAAAAATATTAAAAGATTAATTAACACAAGGCTTAAAGGTGGATAAGTATATATCACACAAGATTTTTCCACCAGCAGTAAGTAAAACAATGACAACTAAGGCTTAACGGGTGCAGATTTTTTTTACACCGGGTCTGGGTATTTTGAGAATACTCGGTGGGTCCGAATGTTACAAAAAAAAGAGTAAACTTCTCATTTTCTATAAACAGCCTTTAAACAATAGTCCTACCAACAGTCCTGCACCCTACCTGCCGGCATTAAAACAAGTTAAGAAGCAGCTGTCATTGAATTAAAGGTGAATTAAAGGTATAACAAGACAGGATTTTTTTTAGTAACTCATTTTGACAGTGGTGATAGGCCAAAAATATAACTTTTCATCCCCACAACTTTATGGCTTGTTAGTTCTTGAAAACCGGTCAAGCCTTATGGCAGACCCTGCCACGAATCAGATAAAAATTTGCAACCATAAGCCGGTGTGTAGCAAATATCCCTATGCGATTGAAGTTGAAAAGTGGAAATATTCTGAATAAAAGATGGTTTGACTTGCACAAGTCACAACATGATTTACACCATGCTTTGTAAAAAGTGTGGAAAAATCACAAATAGGGGAGACAGGTTGTTGCCTTGGAGATCATTAAAAACAACACCTGTACAACATCAATAAACAAGCCTTTTGTCACTTTTCTAAACATTTCAATAGTGCTAACAAACCATAATGGAATATTAGATGTTGACGTTACTGGTATATTGTAAGCGAATAATATACCTGATAAAATTTATATGGAACACAAATTAAAAAGATTTGGTATGTTGGCTCCATAAACCAAATTCTCAATTTTACATAGCTGCATTTCCTCTTTGGTTTTTATTATGTACTTCAAACCAATTTCTTTCCATTCTTCTGATCTTTGTTTTTGTTAGGGACTCATTCTTTTCTTTCATTTTTAGGTTAGGTAGGATATACATAATATATTATGTAAATTTAATTTATTATTATATTAATGTTTTTCGTCTAATCATAATTAAAGCTTAACTTATATTCTTTAATTTACAAAAATTTTGTCTTATTAACCTTACATAAAAGAGCTAACGAGTTAAACTGCTTTATCAACCAAAAAGTCACCACCTCAATTAATTTAAAATATTTATGGTTATGTTTCGTTGTGCATCAAGAAACATCAATAAACTTATGTTTTTATAAAACATTTTATTCTTCTACAGGTCACAATGAATGTTACATAACTAACTTTGCTTATTCAATCTAATACGCATACATTTGGTTAAAAAAAAATATTTGTCAAACCTAAAACAGTAAATTGCCAAGTAACGTAGGCCAACTGGAAAAAGAAACAACCCAACAACAGATCTAGTTAGGGATGCTAGTTAGTGAGAGTCCCACTATGAGATATTTGCTCTTTCTTAAGCACGTAAAAATTACAATGTAAATTTGATCAGTTATGGTAAGAATTGTTAGATGTGGCACATGTCACAGGTGAACTTGTGAGTTACTGTATCTAATTCTGTACTCAAGAAAATTAGTATTTGCTTTTATTTTTGCAATTGTGAATTTTGGAGTTATTTTCAAAACATAGTTCTAAAATGTAAATATTAGAATTGTTTTTGCAATTTTCAGTTTTTCTGAAGAATGAATAATGCTATTAAATATCAGATCACTTTAATAATTCAAAGACTCAAATGAGCATGTGACAGTAAAAGTTAATAAAATAATTTACCTCTTTCTTCAATATCTGTACATTCAGTCATCACAGCTTGGAAATATCTTTTCACCTCATCTTCCTCGCACTGTTCATCATTACTGCTCTGCTTACCAGATTGGGCTGTGGAGGCCCTTGGGTTTCGGTCAGTGAATAAATGAGGCGGCGGGGGATGAGTGCCTGTTCTACTCAAGTCAATATCATTTTCATCCTCCAGTGGGTGGGAGGGATTGTCCGATAATGCAGACTGGGCAGTATCTAATAAATTAGGCTGAATAGTGTCTGATTGGGCAGATGGGAAGCCCAATGAGGAATGAGGGAGGAAAGGTGATGAGTGGAGTGATTTGTGTGTCTGAGCATGTGTCACAGCGGATGCCTCTCTATCCCAGTCTTCCTCTGGTTCAAAGTGACCAATAGGAAACTGAGTGTTATAGTTTGAATGAAATTGACCATTCATAGGTCCCAAGTCCAAATCATGGATAACAATACCACTTCTACGTCCACTCCCACAGATCCGTGGGTTTACTGGTGGGAGGCCAGCTCCTAAGATGTCAACATCCTTCTCATCTTCTATATCATCCTCAAAGCCATATCCATCTTCTGGAGAGGAGAGGATGGGCTCTGGGTCAGGGCCAGAACAGCTGAAGTTAAACTCTGCACTGGTGCTGGTGTCCTCCTGACTTCCTGTACTAGGCCCAGAGCCTAGACACTGGAGTGAGTCATCACTGTTGTCAGCACAAGTGTGGTAGATGGACGGGTCGCTGCGAGAGCTGGTCAAGCATGCTGTGGACAGCTTTGAGCAGACATTAGCCATGTCAACTGTTAGGTGTTCGTGGGAGGATGAGTGTGGACGGGAAGTGCTGGAAACGGGCTCTTTTGTCTTGTTGCTCTCCTCCCCTATACCACTGCTAGATTCACAGTCGCTGTTCAATCTAGGTGTTCCATTCTCTATATCATCATCAAAAGAAGCAACCGCAATGTCATCTGCTTGCGAGAGATTGGTGACTGTGCCAGCACCATATCGGGTGTCTGTTGTTGTTGAACTGCTGATGGAAAAGTTGGAACCAGGATCTACCCCTGAGAGTGAATGTTTGGAGTTGGTTGCCCCACTGTAGAATGCAGAGTCATGTTCACTGACACCTTCATCCAGCTGGGAGAACTCTCCAACACTGGTAAAACTCTCAGTTGTCACTGGGACTGTTGCTTTGCTGTAATGTACAAGATTACTGCTAGCTCTTTTGACAGATAGTGTCTGGGTGTCCTTCAGTGTTGCTAAATATTCTTGAACTGCTTCTGGTAAAACAAATAAATGTAATGATTATAAATAGTATAAATAGTATTCAGTGTTCCCTTTTTTTTAGGGCATAAAAACTTGAAGTGATCACTTCAAAAACAAAAGACTGTTAATATAAAGTTAATGTGATTTTGAGTTTATTTTTCACCTTCCAATAACCGGCAATTGTTACTTTGTACATAAAATAAGCATGCTCACTGGAAAAAATGTTTTATAAATTCATAATAGATTTGCAATTTTTATTAAGTTAGAAATTGTTTTCAAAAGAGCCTAATTTTCAGCACAGCAGTAATAAAAAAGAAAGGCAACTTAAATCTAACACAGTACAATAAAGAATGCAGTGCTAGACATTTGACTTACTGACACTTGGCAGAGAACATGTTATACGAATAGTATTCTGATGCTGGTCCAAGAGTTGGCACAGTCGAGATTGAGGATATGGTACAGAGTTATCAGCCACATCACCAGAACATTCTACAAACACCTGAATACAAACACATAACACAAAACATTGAGTTACATCATCTGGACTTTAGTATGCAAATATATACGGGATGGCTTTTTAGAAATATAAAAGCCCATTTTCATTAACTTCCATTTTTTTTTTTTACCTTATTAGACTTATAGAAGCCTTCAGCTTTTAGGGTCTTTGCTGGTTCAACAAGAGGGCGTAGGTCGTTGTGAAATCTCTCTAAAACACATCGCATATTAGCAGCAGGTAAGTCAAATACCTGAAATGGGGTTTAAACATTTAAATGTGTAAATATGCTTTAAAAAATAAAGGTGGGCATTTAGGCTTGAATAAAGTAGCTTTATATAACAACTTAATAAATGTATACCAAGAGCTAATAATAATTTATTATTTAACCTGTATGATATGTAGAAATGGAAGCACTAACCTTCTGTAGCAAATCCTTGAATTCTCCCACAGTTTGTACATGGTAGGCCCTCACACTTACTGGAGGGTGGATTATTTCAGAGAAAATATCCACCAAAAACACTTTCACAGTCACACCTGGCACACAGGAAATAACATTTACTCAAATATTTACTCTAACAGATAACTAGATGAAACAGAGCAGTGACACTAGGAGACAAGATATTACCTTGTTTACATAGAAGACACAATGATTCACTCATAAAATATGGAGAAAAATATTCCACTGAAACAGCAGGCTACGGATATGTAAACAAGCGAAGTTGTTTCTAAACAATATAAATTCATTAAGTATCATGTATAAGAAAAAAGTAGATATAATGCAATTGATTTTTATACCTCCAGGTTTATACTCGATGAAAACTTGGTCTGGCTTCTTAGTTTCAAGCAGCAAATCAAAAGTGTAGTTGGATTTTACTCCACCAAGTAAGGTAGATATGGGCATCAACTCTTCACCTTCAAAGGATTTTTCTAACGAGTCTTGATACTCGTCATATTTCACAAGGCGACAACAATCAAGGGGCACCAAATTTTGAAGGTGAAATAGCTGGGGAAGAAATGAGATTGTTCAAACCACCAAATTCAATCAATCACAATTTTTTCCCTTCATTTAAAGAAGCTACTAAGTTCATCAAACAGTACAACTCCCAAATCTGAAATGACACAGCCTTAGCTTACCTCCCTTGAGATTTCTGTGGCATCCTGTAAAGTTTTGTCTTTGTGGATCTCTAGCCTGACCTCAATTTTGTGCTGATCCAATGGATGAAAGCAGTAGACTTTAATCTAATAGAAAAAAAAGAGAAAGGAGCATTACACTGAGTCAACACCTTAACATTTGAAGTAACATTTTGTCCATTCTTTCTAATTTGATTGTCACTTTAACGACTAAATAGAAATAACAGTTGCAATTAGATTTAAGAAACAAATCAACCTGGCAAAAATATTTATCAAATAAGGCTTCTTCTTCAGCTTAGTTCTTGTTGGTTTTTTAAGAATATTCTTGGGTTCTATAATTAAGTTTCCAGGGTTCCAATATCTTATAGCTGTCACTGTCTTCTTTTTTTCAACAATTCATGTTATCTAAGTTGTACCTTAATAACAAATCTAAGCCCAATAAGATAACATTAATAAATATAAAAAAATGATACTAAATGAAATAACCTTGCATGTCGACTTGTCAATTTCTCTTTGTCGCCTCTCTGCTTCTTCTTTCTCTTTCATGTGCCTCAGTTCCGCCTTAAGTGACTCGGGGAAATCATCAGGTTGCATAAAATCTTTTTTTTAAAAAACATTATTTACAATAGGTATTGATAGCTTACAAGTCTGAGGAGTGCTTTTTGTAACCTTTCCTTTCAAATTATTTTTTTTATTTCAGGGTTATAAACGCACCGTTTCTTCCAAGATGCATATTGCCTAATTTAATTTCATGGTTATAAATGCACCATTTCTCCCAAGATGCATATTGCCTAATATTAATAATAATTCTTGTATTTTTCCAAAAGCAGAGTGCCCAAAAACTTTCAAAGCACTTCCTACCTTACCTGCCATAATTTAAATAGCAATTCACATTTTAAAAAAAATAATTTTTTGTGTACTTTTTGCTGTAAAAATTCTGCAGATTTGTTACATTTTTTAATTAATACTTAAATTTAACTTGAAAATTAACTCACATATTCAAATAAATACAACACACTCTATCAAAACCATTTTAAAAGTATTTTTAAAGCACTATAGGAATGTAAGACAACACAACTTACCTTTATTCTGCTTTTTGTCAATTTGTCTATACATTAACATGTATGCACTCGTTGAACTGGGAGGGGAAAATAGCAATATTGCATATAAAAAAAAATAATTTATCATCTTAGTCTATATTTTAACCCATTCAATACGTCACAGTTTTTTAAGGGAACTCAGTAACATTTTGGGACTAAAATTCTATTTGACCTGATGATTTTTAACTGAAAAGCTCCATTTTGCTATTTATAAAAATTATATCATGCTGCATATCCAAATTTGGTTATTGAAAAAGGAATATGTTTCTAATATAAAAAAGTGATAAAGAATTACCCAATGAAAATTTTTGGGGTATTATTGCAGATTTATGTAAAAAATTATTTAAAAAATTTTTGTTTTGCTTTACTCACCAGCTCAGAAATCAGGTAACAATAATCCAATCAAGTTCATATTTTTTTTAAATGAGTCTTATGATATATTCAAAACAACTGGAAAGTTTCATTGCAGTAGCTCCAGAAATTGTAAAGTTATGAATTTCTTTCCCAAGACACGTGTTAAATTTTTTTTCTCCAAAATTCAACAATAAAAATAGTTATGCTCAAATATTTACACATATTTCACATATTTACTAAATATATACACAAATGAAGCTATTATTTTAAATGAAAGGCCTTGAAGCATCCTTTAGGATGGAGATGGGGTTTGGCTTCACAACCAGTGCAATAGAAATATGTGCGTACTCGCTTTGTTGCAGTTGAGCAATATGCGAAAGATTGGTCCCGTTCATCGTAATCCACAATGTGCTGTGCATCATTAGACTTTTTGAGGCATCTGGTCTCTGGACCCTTTCCTGGTGCTTTTACTACTTGATTTAATGCTACTTCCTCAGTTAGCTGACGCATCAACAAAAGTTTATACTGTTTGAGACTCATTTTGACTCTGTTTACATCTGCTGATTGGCAGAGTAAAAACAAAATGTATGAGTTCACCTGGGTGATTTCCAACAGCCAGAAAAAATTTTTTTTCCACCATTTCAATGTTTTTCGCTCATAAACACAGTAATATTTTACTTTTTGGTCTAGCTTATCGAAGCCGTTCATTTTGTGATTATAAATGTCTATCATTTCCGGTTTATCCATTTTTTTTGTTTCTGTAACTTGTACCCTAGCATCTGTGGACACCAATATGACATTTTGTTTTTGCCTTTTAATCCCTGAAAGCAACACAGAGCTTGCTCTTGTTTTGGTTTATATACCACTTCATCTTTTTTTGTTGTAAAGATAAAGATTTTATGTCTAGTAGAAATCCAATGCGGTTGATATTCAGTGTTCCTGTGTAGTATTGGTTTTTGGCAAGAAGGTAGTCAACAAGTTTTCTTGATGTATAATATCTGTCGGCAAAAATTTTGTGTCCAGTACCCACATGCTGCAGTAAAGAATGAAAAACTTGCACAGCCTGTCCTCCATCTTTATCTGTTTCTGGGTTATAGGAGGTATTGGCCCCAAAATAGGTCAAAATATCAACAACATAACCCGTTGAGGAATCACACAGGCCAAATTTCTTTATAAGATATTTGCTAGGCTTTGTGGCATTATATTGTTTGAATTGCAATCTGCCCTTGAAGCCTATTACCACTTCATCTATGCTAAGTTCCTGAAAAGGGTAGAATGCATTTCTAAACTTATTCAAGAGTAAGTTCATAAATGGTTCAATTTTATCTTTCCCTTCGGAATTTTCATCGCCACAGTGTAGCATGGAGTGATAGATGTCCTGAAATCTCTGTCTGTTGAATACATGGTGTATCCATGGAATATAGGATTCAGCAGACATAGACCAATAATCAGAAATAGCTGGCCTTTTATACATCCCCATGTAGATGAGAACAGCAATAAATTTGTCTAGCTCCTGCCTTGATATGTCCACCCATCGACTAAAGACAGAGCGTCTAAGTGCAGGTGTGTTCATGTGAACTTTCTTTTTAAGATAGGTATTTATAGATTCAACAATGTAATCTTTAACATTATCATCAAATAGTTCATTGAAAAAGTTAATAGGTGTAGGGTTTACAATGTTTTGAAGTTTAGGACAAACTCCAGGATTTCTAAGGGGATGAAATCGGAAATTGTTTTCAGTTTGTCCTGTTAGGACTTCGGACCACTCTGTCTCTGTAGGGAAATAATTTGAACTAGTAGATTGACTAGTTTTAGATGAAGATGAATTATGCTTTGAAATTGAAGCCACAGAATTAGTAGAACTTGAACTAGGCCTAGTTGGTGTTGATATTTTTTTTCCTTTCCCTTTTCCAATGGATAATTTTTGTCTCTTAGTAGTCGGAATATATTCCTCATTATAGTTTCCTCAAATAATAAATTTTCGTAATAACTATCACTGTCGTCAGATTTATCGTCATTTGAACTTGAATCATCCAAGCAAATCAATTTACTTGCCTCATCGGCAGTCATATATCGAAATCCTGATCGACTAGAACTAGCAGTGTTATTCGATGCAGCCATTCCAATCAGCTGTTTTTTTGTTAACAAATTTTTAAGTGAAAAAAACGAGAACAAAATACACAAAACGTGTGTTAATTGGTTTGAAATTCAACAAAAAGGAAGTGGAACTCTTCTGAATAAAAGTTTGATAAGCTATATAATAAAATAGTTGAATGGAAAAGTTGGAATACTAATAAAATGAAACAAACCAGTGGTGACGCAGAGAGTGGCTAAACGTACTCTGCTGAAATCGCGGTGATGCACACTGCGGCGAAACGTATTAAATGGGTTAAGAACGAATATTTTTTTTTTAAAAAGAACATTGCAGGACAATTGTTCTTGTTATGTAAATTATTAATTGATTATGATTCATGTTAGAATAGTATTTTTTAAGTATGCATCACTCACCTGGTATAAGCTGAAGAGTAAAATCCCCTTGCCATGGATGAGCCACCATAGGTTTTTCTGATATCATCATAAGTAATCTGCATAACATTTATAAATAGTACAGAGTGTTGGACAAATTAGATAAACTAGCTGCCTGGCTTTATTTAACAAAGTCTGAGACACAAAAAGTACATGCTCCAATATTGCTAAAAGCCATTCTAATCACAAAATATGTTTAATAGAACATGAAGTATTTTAACTACCTTAGTTACTTGCTGATCATTGAAACTGTACCATTGGCCATCTTTGAAAGACCTGAGAATAAAATTAAAAATCATATTTAAGTTTGCCTCTCCCAATATCAACACAATCTGGATGTTCCTCTTTAGAAGGTGCAATCTAGTGAATATTATTTTCTAGAAGTCACACAAATATAATTCTGAGGTAAAAAATTAAAAATTTTCATCAACTTGGCACAAGAACCTATACTATTCTCTTACTGCTGAAGCATTACTGAAAAAAGTTACAATTACATAACTGCTGAAAAAACCAGAATGTGAAATAAAACAACTGTTATCTTGGCCTAGAGATCAGAGCTCTGTGCCAGAAGAGACTTGCCATGAAGAGTTTATGAGTTGGGGTGGGGGTGGGTGTGCCACAACTTTTATGAAAAATAATTTTATAAAAGCAGGTTAAATCATCAAATCCATTTGCAACATCAGAACTGATTATTCTTCAATGGAACTCTTGACCAGTTTTAGCGTTTTCTGAACTTTTGTTTTTCCTTATAATTTTCCAAAAGTGTTTATGGCAAGTTATCAACCCAAGAACTTACTTAATGTATGCATAGTAGTGACCTCCAGCAGCACTACCTGAGTGGATCATGATAGAGAAAAGTTCATACACAAATGGACCCTGAAAACAAAAGTAATTATATGATTTAGATCAGTTAAAACCAATTTTTTAAGTTCATATAAGATTAAGTTTTGATGTTTCTGACATACATAACAAGAACTTGCTACTATTTGATGTTGTTGTTTTTTTTACTTTAAGTCATCAATTCTATATCATATGAGGTATTTCTTTAAATTAAAAACATGTATAATAGATATGTAATAACTTTCTGCAAAATTTTATATTATAAAACCTATATTACCACGGTTAATGCAAAACCCTAACTTTTTCTTTGAAAAAAAAAGTCTTAAAATGTTTTGTCCACATACAATCGGATTGTATATTTGTTCCATTTCATTATCAATAAAACAATACCCATAAACTAAAGAAATGTTTATTTTAAAATAAATATGTCAAAATCATTTTCAATTATTATAATATTTAAAATGAACTGTGGTCATAATGTTAAACTGTCCTTGTATCCTATCAAGGGAGCCCTAATTACATTATTGGCTTTATGCACAAAGACAATGCATGTTCAGCTGCTAAATCCAAGTGGGTCAAATAGATTTGGTTGCGTAAGCATTATCATTATATTGGTTAATGAAAAATTGTTTGTATGTGCCTAAAATGCAAACCCCTGACTTTAAGTAGCATCTTTTTACCATAAATGTTTCACATTATAACCAGTAATATATAATTCAATGCTTTCAGAAAATAAATTCACTCACTCATGAACATAATTTTTCCCCCCCAAAATATAAGATAAATTTTAATTTAAGACTCAGGAAGTTTCATTTTATTTAGAGAGACAATGCCATTTAACAAGACAAAGGATCTACCTTTCCTCCAGAGTAATATGAATTGCGAGTGTTGTTTGCTGCAGCATCGCTGCTATTACTTGAAGAATCACTACCAGAGGAAGCTGCAGAACATCCATTCTCAACTTCTATACCTTCATCAATACCTGGACGCCGTTAATAAAAAATTCTTACAATAAACTGATTGGACTAATTTAAAATATCAATTACTTTTATAATTAAATACAGAACTTAAAATATCAAGGGATAATGTAAAACATTTTTCAGGCAACATCAAACTCCACAACAATAAAATATTTAACTTAGGTGAAGAGTGTATAATGAGAGGGTTGCATTGGTACTATCAGTTGTGTCACTGGGGGGTGAAGAATGCACTGGGTTTAATTATATTTCAATCAACATTATAACTCTTTAATGAGCTACATGTAGATTTGGACAGTCATATTCCATTCGATACAATAGCTGATGTTATAAACATGTTAAAAATGGCTCTAATGCATGACATTAAATGGTTTTGAAAAATTAATCTGTTTTAAAATTTTGCTCATTAAATGAACCATACGTAACAAAGAACTGAAAAAAAAAAAAACAGTATACAAAGTAAAAAAACGATACCTAAGTTATTGATACAATATTCAATTGAATAATAATTACACTATTAAAAATTATTTTTAAAATATACAAAATCAAATAGATATGACAATTATATTAACTTTCAGCACAGCAAGTGAAAAAGTACAATCCTCAAAAGATACAAATATAAACACACACATAATATAAAGAGTGCAATCTTGTAAGCATATTACATCTGGTAAATGTCAAGGAAAAATAATAATGCCCCCCCCCCCCCCTTTTCCATGCTGATTTATTTATAGGGAGAAAGTTGGAACCCTCTAGAAAAGAGATTCTAGAAATCACGTCACCCAATAGCATTCTTTCGAACAAATTGAATGTAAACAACCTTTTCTCAATCAAAGAAGGGGTGGGTAAAAAGGATAGACGCTTCCCATTTAATTGGTTATGTCAATATCAAAACAAAAAAAGTGGAAAGGAGATGTAAAGTTGACTGCCACAGCTTGTGATGAATAAAAACTAGGTCAACATACAGGCTTTAACATGTTCCAAATATATATTTTGTTGGAATTGTAAGAAAAGTGGTAATAATTGCTTCATAAAATCATTGTACTATAAACCACTACCTTTGAGAGGGAGGTTACAACCAACTTCCCAGGATCAACAATAAAAGAGCTCAATGAAATAACATATGTGAAGGAAAAGATTACAGCTGGCAATCACTCATATTTCAGTCTACAAAAAGTTAATAAGAAGTAGAAACATCTCAAGAAAAACTTTATAACTCACTGTCATAAGACCGGTAGTAATGAACACAAGAAAGTTGAAACCTGCTAAATATGTGGGAGAGGAAAATCCTATGGAAAATATACAGGCTAAGATGGTGGATGGAGAATTCGGACTTATCAAGAAATATACCAGTTGTACAAAAACCCAACAATAGTCTGAGCAATAAATATAGATAAGCTGCATTGGACAAGAAACCTCAAGAGGATTTACAGACAGAACCATGGGACAGGAGGTTCACCAGTCGATCAAGGCTAAGATGGATTGAAGGTGTGCATACAGATTCAATTCAGTTTGGGGTGGGGTGTGGGGGGGGGGGGGGGGGGTAAGGGCATGGAGATGAAAAGACCCAGTTCAGTCTAAATAGAAGGATGAGATGCAGTGGCTAGAGCCCTCAAAGTTGAGAATGATGACAGCTACACTTCTGTTTAACTTGCTCTCTAGTAAACAGGCAAGATTAGATACCACTATAAGGCATGCATCTTGTCAAAATATTGTCTAACCTTCATCACTACAATCCACTTGCCCATTAGACACAACCGTTTTACTCTCATCTATTTCTTCTTCTTCTGAATCTTTGTCACCATGATTTGTATTTGTGATAAATTGGTTCAAGTGTAGCACATCTGGAAATGTTATTCTGAAAGTAGCCGAAAAAAATTAAAAAAAAAAAAATGTTTTAATAAATGCAAATAAGAATAAAGGTTTGAAGTAAAAGATTTGTCATTCCAGTAAATATCAAAGTATTTATAACAAAAATAGGTTCTCAGATGTGAAGTTTTTAAATCAAGTATTTTAATCTTATTGGTATCAAGGTTATCTAAATTATAATGGTATGGTGTACTTAACTGATCAAATAGGTAACATTTGGTAAGGCTAAGGGGATATGTAAATAGTGACAAGAATAATCTGCTGTAATATATTAAGCTCAAATTATGTATACCTACTTGTCATTGAGTTTGATCCTATGCATTGTGGCATAGTCAAAGTCAAACCGTTTCAGCTGGAGGGTCAATAGATACGGAAACGAGACAAACTTAAAACCCTGGAATGATAAGAAGATTATGAAAATTAATTTACCAACAATACATTCATGAGTAGTAATCTAAAATGGTTATCAAGAAATTGTGAGAATAATCAGCATTCAAACAGACTTATGGCAACAATTGATTAAAGGGTATTTTGGTTTAGAAGATCAAGAAAAACAGAAAAAAAGCGTTGGGCAATACCTTATGTGCATTACATTTTTTGTTACACTTCTCACAAAAGTACTGGTTGGTACCATCAAGTATTTCTGGCTGAACAAATGCATTCATCGCCTCTGTCTGAAAATAAAAACACACAATTTTAGAGTACTATACTTACCAAAATATGCAACTACATGACAATACCATTAGGGGTGTGCCGGAGTCCGGTCCGGAATCCGGTTCCGCCGGATTTTGCACTATCCTGTGAAATCCGGTTCCGCCGGATTTACATGTATCCGGAACAACCGGATTCCGGAATATACCGGATTTCGGAATTTGCCAGATTTTGTGACTCACCGGATCATAATCTGAAATAAAAGTAATTCTCTTTCCCGAATTCCACACGATCACGATACATTAATCGATTGTTTCGAGCGTTGAGCTTGTTTAATGTTTAATATTCCGTACATACCAGAGGCTAGAGTCAGCACCGCTAATAGTGGCCAATAGTGTAGGGACTTTGATAAGAAAATTTAAACTTTTTGTAAAAATAAACCAATGGCATAGTTGAAAAGATGTAATTTTTTAAAGAATTATAACACCAAAATCATATTTTTAGCTGTTGTAGTTTTAAAGTTATGAATTTTTAAAGTACGACTTGGTTTGTCATTTTTTAACATGGACTGCATCTCCACATTCTGTGATCTCATTCCGCCAATCCCGTCATGCGCAATGACTATATAGTTTATATAAGGCAACGCATTCCCTGCCTTATCACTAAAATACTGTTTAGACTTAGTTTAAACTTTCAACTTTGGCACATGAATAATTAATTAAAGCTTTCCCTGACCAATGGTTTAATAGTTTTTGCACACGGCAAACTCTTATGAATGAAACTCTGAGGTAGTACTACGATACAGTTATGCAAGTGGCTGTGAATGGTTGCCAATGACAACGTGTTGCACACGGTAAATTCTGATCATTTATAATATGGATTCTACCGGGTTGTTAAAGCTCAAATTAAAACATTCCAGTTTAAATGTCTTTAAATGCATTCTGAAACACAAGTTATCAATTATTTTGATGTAAATAGTGATAATATATTAATATTTCCTAAGTATCGTCAACTTCCGCCATTAAAAAGGGGGGCGTGGCCAACCCCATGGCGAAATTAGGTTGAGCGAGCTGCATGACCTGCTGCGAACGCGTAGAAACATGGCGTCTCTCGTAAGACACATATCCAAATGGAACGGAACTCAAATATATATCGAAAGTACTAATTTAATAATAAATAGACACACATCGGAAAATTAAAAACTCGGATTTTTTGGCGCCGATTGCGAATTCCCATACACAAAAAGTAGTAGTCCACCTTGACTTACCGAAGTATCTACCAATAGTACCAAAATCCGGAATCCGGGATAAACCGGAATCCGGATTATTCCGGAATCCGGATCCGAATCCGGATCCGGCGGATTTCGCATAAGAAAATCCGGATCCGGATCCGGTTGGAAAAAACGGATCCGGCACACCCCTAAATACCATACCAACAATTATTTAACCACAATCATTGATTTATGTAGACGATAATTAAAATGTTCATTTTTTTTAAATGTAAGAAGGCTTTCCAATAATTGAAATTGAGGTAAAATATGTATAAATATTCAAATTTAAGGGAAACTATTGATCCAGAATACCAGTAGAAAAAATATGTAGCTTTTTTATTAACTGAAATAATAAATAGGTTAAATTGCAAACAACATATTTTTCTATAAAACTGAACACATTAACTCTTAACATTTTCATTAAAACAAAAGATTCCAAATGTCAATTTTTGTTTTGAGGACTCAATAGACATTGTACAAACAATTAACTTTGAGGAAATATAAATATAACAATAAATAGACTTTCTCACCACACTGCCATAGGAATCTGTGGAACCAAACGGTCGAATCACTAAAGGGATGTCTAAATAAGCATCAACTCTAGCACTTTCATTGCCACACTGGAGATAAAAAGTATAATTTAAGCTTAATGGGCATACCAACATGGAGCCTGGGAATTTAAGTCATCTGTATAAATAAGTCACTACGCAATATTTAAATGATTGGATTCAAACATGTAAAAATAATTGCAATAATTAATATAAGTTGATAAATGCCTTGTGTTTAAAATTATATGTACTTTAAACTCACTCCATTCAAACGTTAAAAAAAAATTAATTACAAGAATTCTTTTCAGCACAACGATCATGATCATTTAAAAAATTACCTCAAGACACTTAACATAGTCTTTCATCTTCCCCTGATAAAGCTGATTGATTAGGTTGGCCTGGATTGTGTTTTTCCACTTCTGTTCCAATGCATCAAACATAACTCTACACAATTCCTGCACATCATGTTGTTGCCAAACTGAAATAAAACAACAGGAGAAATAGAGCATCATGGGGCTAGGGTGTTTAGTAAATAGAAAAATTAACACTAGATGGAACTAAAGCTTTTACCAGCAATGTTTACATTCTAACACACCATTACTGGCCTTTACAAAACATAAAGAGACATGGCAATAATACCTGTATTAATGGTGCTCTGAATGTATCCTAAACAAAAATGTTTATGTGTGTATTCATTGAAATAATGCCACACATTTATAACTAGTATCCATCTTTGTTACTGATGTTTGATCAATAAAAAAATTTAACTGACCTTCACTACTGTCCCAACCAAAGCTTCGAGTCAAATCCGTTGTTTCAACAGCTCTTTTCTTACTTGTCTGAAGATGCAAGAAATTATTTGAAAATAGTCTTAGATTATGATTAATATTTTTTCTAATGAGCCTTTAATTTCTCTTAAAATATAAAATAGCATTTTATCCAAACATATACAAGATATTTCCTCACCTGCAGCTGTAAAAATAGCTTCTGCAGCTGGTACGGGATACTTTTTATCTTTTCATCTTCTGAACCATCAAAAGACCATCTTTAAAAAATAGATAAAATATGAAAAAAGATAAAATATTTAAACTTTTTAACAACTAAAATGCCTAATAACAATTTTCAGCTTGTAATATTACTTTCATCCAGAAATCTGGACACTTAAACTGCTGCATATGGTTGCCATAAATGGAATCATTGAAAAAAACCAACAATTTTGCACCCTGAATTTTCACTACAAAATTATGTATTGCATTCTGAGATTAATTAATTTCAAATTGACACTTGCTGTCATTTTAATTAGGCTTTCTAAAGGCATCCTTAAAAATAATGTTGTCTTTAAGAAATTAGCACTTTACTACAGGGCACCTTGACTTTAACAAGCTATGGAATACTATTTCATAAAGACACAGAGTGTGGTTTAAGTCATAAGCATACCTATAGAGAGCATTCCTGAACTCTGGAGTCATGTACAATGTCTGTAACAGGCTGTTCAGATAACATGTCATAGCCTGATTGACCAGTCCTATGTAACCTATTGATGATCAATTTTTAAAAAAATAATTTATTTTACTAATATTGGTTGCATTACTAATAGTGTAGCAGTTTAAATTTTTATACTTTTGAGGTAATATTTTATAAACAGTTCTATTTTTATTTTCCCAAGAAATATTATTGCTCCTACCTGTATCTGACTTAGCAGAAGCAGAATATGAATAAGAAAAATCCTCAGAAGGTTTGGAAGCAAGATTCCCTGAACTTTTTGTTTCACTTGCCAGTACTGATGCATCATCCTAAAACATTAAGTTGGGAGTATTTCAAGTTATTAAAGCTTGCTTCTTAATATGAACAGCGGTGGATGTGTCTATATAAAGCATACACATTCATAATAATCCTGATCCTTACTTTTTCCTCCAATCTAAAATTAGCATTATTTATTGTTTTCAATAATTAAAATGCCATTTGTAAAACTGATATTGTCAGGTTATAAAAAATTAAAAGTGATAAAAGAAGCAGTGTATTAGAGACATTATAAGAGAAAGTTATTTTTAATGCAGTATAATGATGAATGTGTAAAAGCATGGTAGTTCTTGGATGAATGGCTTAATTTTAAATTTTATGTTGTTATTCTATACTTCCCCTTTCACACATTATTTGTTTTCTCCATTTAAAAAAAAACTGAAATTTAATCTCTCATTATTAGCAAAATTATATCGATTTTTATTTTAATTTCACTTTATTTATGATTAACAAATATAACTCCTGTCTCCTAAACACATTTCTAAAATTAATTCAAATTCTTCATTTAATAACAAAAAATATTTTAACTCCTACAATCTTATGCCAGTCTGTGATTGTATACTGACACTTGCATACTTTTATTAGATAGCTCCACACATCCTTAGTCACAATTATTTCTCTTTGAACCTTTTCCCTTTGTGATCACAGCCAACAAACTTACAAACAGAAATAAAATCAGCAGTAAATACAGCTTGTATTGTTAAATTTCATTTTTGTGCAAAGGTGATTATCGCCAATAGATGAGTTATAATGGCCTCGTTGAACCAAATAAGGCTTATTTCTGGATCATTTGCAGTTGGATGTGCTAAATTTTAATGATAGAAATTTCTAGCTAGGTCACATATTAAAAACCTAACACTCTTTAATGTTATGTGTCCCACTTCTTTCAACACCCAATACCTAAAAAGAAAATGATGAAGAAAAAAACCACTAGAATCTTTAACAGCTTACTAGCTTTTGGGGCATTGTGCCTTCAAACTCATGGATGGTGAAATTGTGTCTCTTAGCTCCAGAGCTGCATACAGTGCCAAGCAAAATATCTGCTTCCTGAACTTCCAGCAAAATCTAAGAAAAATAAAGTTTACAATGTTTAGTACCAGTTCTTAAATCCAATATTATTAATATCACTCTTAAGATCACTTCATAATACATTTATACTTTGTACATTTGAATATTCATGACAAGTCAATTTTGAAGAGTAAATTTTAAAAAATTTTTTTAATGTATTCCAGACGCTTCAAATTAATAGTACATTAACCCTTTGAATCCTTGGCCCCAGATCCTAAAATACCCTTGCCCCTGGGCTTCTGATCCTAAAATACCCATGCCAGAGAGGCTCCTGATTCTAAAATATCCATGCCAGAGAAGCTCCTGATTCTAAAATACCCATGCCCCTGGGCTCCTGTGGAAAATTTCAACCAATTGACACATAATCAAACAAAGGCACAAATTAATTTCAATCTAAATTACTGTTAGTAGTTGATAACTATTATAAAATGTATAAGTTGTCTTAGAATCGGTGTAGAATAGCATAGAAGGTCATTTATATTACCCTGGATTTTCATAACAAACAATGCTAGTACTAGGGGTAGACCTTGTGTTGTTTTTTTTATTCTCAAAGCACACATCAGTAGCACTAGTAGTTGAAATTAAACGATCATCACAATCATTGTCTTTTTGCTTTATTATAATCATTTTTCAAAACAGGATAATAATCCTTTGAATCATTTGCGTTATCACCAACCTGCTGTTTTAAATCCTTTAGAATTGCAAATTTTTAATGTTCGCCCCTCTATACATTGCAAAACATTACTAAATCATAACAAACTCAATGTATCCATGGGCGCTGCCATTACTGTGACCTTTCACAAGTCACCTTGTAAACCCTGAACTCAGTATTTACAACAGATTTTAATAAATGAACTGTCAATCTAGGGTAGGGTATGTGAATAGTTAATGCTCAGACTGATAAAGCAGGGACCCCGGGTTTAAAGGTTTAAACTTCAAATTATCAAAGACTAAAGACTTCTTAAGTCCAATAAGACTTGAATACTAATCTATAATTCTATTAAAAAGCCAACAATCTCATAAGTTTACTATTTATTTTAATTATTGTGCCCTTATATACCAAAAGGATTTGGTGAACTATCAGCTTACATCTTCACCCCCAAGCTGGGGCTCATAGTGAATAGACACAGTATTTTCTTTGTATCCACATGCTTGAGCTATTGCATTGGCAGCTTGAGAGGCAGGTAAGGAGGCCTGCAAATTGAGTGACTGTTTGCCTGCAGTACCCCCATGGCTGTCCACAAGATCTCGGATGATACATAAAATTTTGTCATCATCTAAGGGAGACGCAGCTACCACGCTGGATCTCTGTAATGAAATAAAGAGTACTATAAATAATTTTGACAGCTATGCATGACTATTAGAAAAAGTATTAAAATTCAATTATTTAAATATGAAAAGCTCTGACCATATTTTGTAGGCTTTGTATATGAAAACTATTTTAAAGATCTTTCAAAACTCTGCATAAAAAATTGTTTTGTTTGGAATATAATATATTTAAATGCATAACTACCTTTCCGTTTAGTAAAAACTCAAGCTTGGGAGGGTCAGGGAGGTGGGCGATTCCTATGTTAATATGATAACTATGGCACAGCCAATGTGTTAGCCGGGCCTTTGATAGCAAATAGCTCAGCCCTATCCCCCCTCCTCCACGTATGTTCTCTTTTCCTATTTTTTAGGAGTTTTAAATACTGTTTTTACGGACCATAAGACACACTTTTTTCTTAGAAAAATTGGCTCCAAAATTCAGGTGCGTCTTATACTCAATATTAATATAAAAATGGTAAAAATGTTATTTTTTAAAATATTTGCCTAAAAAATTAAGGTGCGTCTTATAGTCTGTAAAATACGGTAATTTGAATAAAAGACCCAAAGCAATAATATAAGTGACTATACTATGTGCAAACCTCACTCAGCAATTTATACATCGTCATTAAAAAATCATATTTAAATTTTAATTCTTTTTTATTTAAATACGATGGACAATATTTAGTTAGCAAAGTGATTTTATATTCCTAAAAATTTCTTAAGTCTAAACTAGTAAGTTAGTAAAAAAAAATATTACTTAATAAATTATGTCTTTGAAAGTCATATACTGATATAGGCCTAGGCCTATTTATTGTTATTTCATAAATCATGACTATTAGTATTAGACACATTATTAATAAATATGCTACAGTGATTCAAATGTAAAAAGAACTTGACAATCCCGAGAATCATCAGATTTTATCATAATAAAATAGATAACTCTGTCTAGTAAACTCAAATAAAGCATTTGGTAATTCGTAAATTATTGGCATGGGTCAGAAATTCTTCAATTTTAAAAAAAATCATCAACAATATAGGAAGTTGAAAATGCTCTCCCCACCCCCCTTCCCACCCCTGGAATGAAGGCATAGGCCTACCACTTTATTATTTCAATATCCTAAAATATATTATTATGGATTGATTACTAACATGCTGTAGCAATTAGTCAAACCGTGTATAATATTGTAGTGACTTAAAAAAAAGTGACCTTAGAAATTAGCAGTTAAGCCTAGTCAATCTGAAAGTTTATGAATAGGCAAAGTAGGGCAATATAAGTTAGGCTTGCCTAAAAAGGCATCCATAAGAGTTGATTTGCCTTTTGGTTTGATCTCCTGGGAATACCTACAATTATACTAATCTTAGACATAGTTTAAAGTTTAATAAGTAACTTAGTAGGAAGTTCCTGTAAAGCAAGGGAGACTACTTCACAATTTTAATGGGAAATTCGAATCATTTCAGATGAATCTGATTTTTTCTTTTTGGGCATTGGTGATATTTCATTGATGAAAGGACTATTTTGCCATAAAATCCTGGCATTCATCTACACATTTCCAGTGGTGGACATCTTGACCAATATTTCCATCACAATTTTTTGCCTTTTCAATGGAACCCAATGTTAGAAATTCCTAGGCCTAGGAACATATATAAGGCATTTGTCCATACAAAATTTTTTAAGAATTTCAAATTATATGTCTTTCATTTTAAATCTTCTTCTCCATTATATATTAATGTATATGTGTGCCAATTCTTAATAAGCTAGGACATGTTGGCCATTAGTTGTGCTCATCTAAGTAACCTGCATTAGCATAAGGTCACTCTGCCCAGTTTCCATTTTAATGGCAGAAGATACTAATACTTATGAAATATTAAATTATTACCCTTAATTGCATCAAAATATTGGATAACTTGTGTTATAAAGTGAACTAAGAAGGCATTTATCCAAGAATATTTTAATTTGAGGTTTAAAACCCAGTAGAATCCATGTTATAAATTATCATAAATTGCCATGTGCAAAACATTGTCCTGGGAAACAATTCAGTCAATTGGATGTAATATTTAGTATTATTTTCATATTTTCCTTCATAAATAAGAGATTGCTGTGTGCAAACACTATTAACTCATTGGTCAGGGGAAGCTATAATCAATTAGCCACGTACAAAAGTAGTCCGTTCAAAATAAGTAGTCTCTAAACAGTATTATTTTTAGTGGGACACGCCGCCTTACATAGTCTATATATATATATAGCATTAATCCTGAAAATATGAGTTTTATAAAATTATCATTTAAACTACGAGGTATAGCACATGACGGCGATCAGCAGAATTGAGCCAAAATATTGGGCCAGTCCATTGTAAAAAATATCAAATGAACTAGCAGTTTAAACAAAATTCGGTAATCTACCACTTGAGCGTCGGCCAAGAAAAAATCCAGTTGTACCGGTTGGAAGGGCTATTTAAACAACTATTCTTACATTGGAGTCTGCTAATATTTATGCTTCCGTATCGAGGCTATAATGTTATATAGCACAATACTAACACATTTAAATAATTATTACTGCCAAGCTACCTATATGCCAGGAAGAAAAAGAGACTACAATAATTTTTTTTGATCCAGATAACGCGGATGTCCACACACAGAATGTGGAAAACGTAAATGCTCAGAAAGCGTAAACTAAAAAACAGTTAGGGCACAAGAAGCGCTGGTGATCTTTCCCCTTCATATTTACGTGGATTCATGTACCACAACCGTTTTCGTGGAAATTATATTTTTTAAAACTTCATTGTCAACTATGAGGGAGAACTATGCATAATTCCATTTTCACACATGATCTTCTATTTCAAAAAAATTGTTACAGTTTTTCTATTTTAAAAAAAATTGTCTATTATTATGGGAATGAATACATACAACCAATGTCATTAAAAATAATAAAAGAATAGTTGTTTAAATAGCCCTTTAAACCGGAACAGCTTGATTTTTTCTTGCCCGACGCTCAAGTGGTAGATTACCCAAAATTCATACCTCAAAAAGAACTAAAGCTAGAAAGTTGATTCTGGTTAAATTTTTTATTTGAAGTTTCCTCTATACAACTCCTGTTGTATTTTTATAATTTTTTTTATCATTTTTATTTTTTTTTATCAAAGTACCTAACTTAGCTCCTGAATTCTGAATCTCCTTTACTTTATTGTAAGTACAAGACAAAGGCTAGTCAATAAGTATGAGAATGAGACAAAGTGTCACCTACTGTGTAAGTGTAGCACTATGATCAAATAGACAAAATATTAGCATGACATAACAATTCATAACATTCAGTTCAGTATCATCATACAGTACAGTGATGTCATGTGACAGTATAATTATTGATATTCAGTGTTTTAGTGTTTACCAGGTCCACCAGTGAAAACTAAGGGCAGTCTTAACTAGTGTCTGAGTCTGGTGTTAGTGTGTTGACTGTAAATACCTAAAAAAGTCAGTAGAGTAGTAGAGACTGGTTAGAGAGGAGAGTTAAATTATAAAACACAATGATCTCTTAAATCTCTAACAAAACTTCTAAGATTCTAAGTAACTAAGTAAGTGATCTGATAAAAATGGTGGGCCTTTCCCTAGAAATAAAAATTGTAAATCAATAACTTATAACATAATAAAATCAGGCGATTAATCTAATATGGTAAAACTAACCGACTCGATCATTAGTTTTTAGCAGTTCAGTTCAATTTTCGGTTTGTTTTTATCGTACTGTTAACTTGGAATGGCTGCTTCTTGGCTATCGTTGTTTCTCGGACAAGGGAGAGAGTCGAGAGACTTGTTAAAATAGGTTTGCCAAATTGGAAATATGGCAAAAGGACTCTCAAACATTTCATGTTTTAGATTTTTTTTTTTAAATTTTTTTTTTTAGTTTTAATTTATTAAATTTCAGTATCAATACACAACAAATTGAGAAAGTAATAAATGTCATCTCAATATCTTCCTGCCTAATTCTAGGTCACAAAGTAATAATAAATAATAATAAAATAGATTTACAATCATTATCATTATGACTATGAATGCATACCCACTTAACCCATTAAGAAGAAGGCGTTATTATCTTAAGCATACATTTGCTGTCATTTCGGATACTACGACTATATTTCAGATAAGTGTTATTTTTTAAAATTCTATTCTGTTTTTACTTTTGTTTTTTCAGCGATGAAGGTTTCTTGCTGACACGTTCGTTGTTTTGTTGTGTTATTTTTATTAATTTTTTTCCAGGTTTACCCATAACTTATTTCTCTAATTTCCATTTTTTAAACATGATTGCAGTCTCTCCCCGTATTCCTCGTTTGTAAAGCTTGACAAAGCTGACATCCAAAATCGCTGAGCCGACACTACAGGAATCGCACTGAGAACAAGCTACAAATGTAGGAAAACTCTATTCAAACTCCTCACAACAAGAGATGAAACTGGACTAGAAGACCCATTGTGCTGGGAGAAGAGAGTTATTTCTCACCATCTGTTATATAGGCCTATTTGTTAGGGTTTTACTGGACATGTTGAATTAAGTTATAGCATAAGAAACTCTCATAAAAAGGCAGTATGTCTGCAGACCAAGCTGAGCACAAAAGACATGAACTATTTCCTGAAAAATCTAAGAGAAGTTGAAGGAAAAATATCAATAACTTTGACACCGTTCGCAGCTGTGAATCATCTAATTGAAGCTACGATGAGACACCCCTCCCCAATTTACTCACTATATTTTAGCAGGAATCACAATCAGGAAAACAATATAAAAGTAGGGTTAACATGCCATACTCTTTCTCGATTGAAAAACTTTGGGGTAAGTATAGATGTGTTATTCCACCCACACCATTTGCTATCTACTTTATTGTCATGTTAAATGAGGAGAAGCGGGACTAAATGAAAGGGCTACATAAATAAGGTTCCAGGATGACGTAGTTTGGTTTAACCTTCGAAGAATCCAAACCAAAACAGGGTGACATTAGTCGCATGACTCAATTTTAATGATAACTATGCGCTTTCGGCCCAAATGCAACAAGGGCTTCAGACAATGATTTGTAAAAAAGAAATTCTCGGATATCTGTAACCGTTGGGTTCCTGATATAAAACTATTGATTTTAATATGAAAATATAGGTCCAAAAACCCCCACTTCAGAATTACATAGCCCCCATAATCACCATCAATGTTACCTTTAAGCTGCGCGGCCACGCAGCCATTTCACAGACGCCGCGCAGCAGTTTTGAGTACCGCGCAGAAAATTTCCATGTAAGTGTGTGTTTGTGTTTGTGAGCTGTAATATTTTGCACACAAAAAATTGATGCTGTAAAACTTTGCACACAACTATATGATTTTGCACACGAACCAACAAACCTCAGAGGGAACATTGATCACCATCCAAGGTAACCCGCTCAATAAAGTTTGACAAGCTAAAATATTTATGGGACATCATCTCTACAAACGCCTAAGTGTAAAATAATATAAGACTTAAAAAAACTAAGTGTTTGGAAACCAGCTGTTACTTTTGTAGGCCTAATCTTCAAAAAGTTAATTTTTAAATTAAACGCATCTGAATATTAGGCTGGACAGTGGTGTAACAAGGATTGGTGTCACCCGGGGGTGGACCAAGTTTTTTGCCACTTGCCAGCCCCATAAAAAACCCAATGAAGTTTGTCGAAAATCCCCCCCCCCCCCTTATATAGAAAACCCGGGGGTGGACCAAGTTTTTTGCCACTTGCCAGCCCCATAAAAAACCCAAGGAAGTTTGTCGAAAATCCCCCCCCCCCCCTTATATAGAAAATAGTGCCAACCGGGCAGTGACGTAGGAAGGGGTTGCGGGAGGGGGGCAGTCCACCCAGGGTGGCACTTTTTCTTTATATGGAGGGGCAGCATTTTCGACCACTACATGTGCATTTTCGTTGATGGGGGCGGCAATGTTATTGGCCCGCAGCGGGTGGCACTTACTTTAGTTACGCAACTACCATAAGTCCCACAAGCATTCCATTTATTGTACCGGTAGCACTAGATTTTTGGTAGCAAAAAATGTTGATTATTATTTAAGTAAAGAAAATGAATGTTTATTTACAATTTTGAATGTATTTTTGTTAGCACATTCCAATTATGACATGGTCTATGAGCCTAAACCTATAGCACGGATATATATTATTTTTAATTTTAAATTTAAAGTCTATTTGGCCATCTAAAAAAAAAAAGAAGTTTATGAAAATCTGGTGATAATTTGTCAACACAAAATAAGTTCCGTTTCCGCTTCCTTTTTACGTCGAACCTCCACCAAGATGAGGTGAGTGTACATCTTGGTAAAATCCAAATCGATTCGCTTTAACTATTAACAATCTGGTTTTTATTTTAAAGTTATTACACTTTAAATATATTTTTTATATTAGATATTTGTGTATACCCATTTATCCCCGTAAAGACGCTGTATGAAGTAATGAGTACTTAGTTCTTGCACCTCAGCCTCTTTCAATTGTGTGGCCCGTCATGACCTTTTTATGCCTTCCCCACAACTCAGCAGCCAGCCATGTACGTGATTGTCTAAAATTCATTAAAATCTTTGGTCTAGTCAAAAAAATCCACTTAAATTTAAAAGAATGAGCCTGTTCTCTTTACTAGGCACCACTTACGATGCAGGGCTAAAATACACATAGGCCGCTATTCTCTCAACTATAACTAGGGCTAGGCGCATGGTACTGAACTGAAACTTGATGTTAAAAAAAGAAAAAGGCAAATTACTCTGGCTGCATTCCTAGATAGGAAGCATAGTTTTATTGTTTGTAATTTCATTTCAGTAAAATCAACAGAGATTCACTCCGTGAATCTATTGACAATGTTCTCAAGTATTCCAATGAGACAAAGAAGCGGAAGTTCACTGAGTCTATTGAGCTTCAAATTGCACTGAAGAACTATGATCCCCAGAAGGACAAGCGTTTCGCTGGAACCATCAAGTATGCCTTGAAAATTTTAAAATATGAACCCTTCATATAAAAATGTGATCACTGAGAAAACTTTGTCCTAGTCGACTTTGTATATTTTAATTTTTTTAAAAGTGAGACATTTTTATATTAGGGTAGTTGATTGGTTTTTCCATCAACGGGACCTTACCCAGGGTCTCTAAACTTTGGGTAGGTAATAGTGCCTTTGTACTTTTACCGAACATTGTTTTCAGGGCATGTCTGGATTTGGGTAAGATCACATAAAAATGTTTGGTTTTAATAGTGTGCCCTTGATTTTAACTATTTAGGCATGTATAATAGTAATTCCATCATTTAAAATGTTGGCTTAAGCATTTGTTTATAAAATATATTTTGTTTACATTTTATAGATTGCGTAACATCCCAAAGCCCAAGATGAAGGTATGCGTTCTGGGTGACCAGGTTCACTGTGATCAGGCTAAAGCTAATGACTTGCCTCACATGGACATTGAGGCACTAAAAAAACTTAACAAGGACAAGAAACTTGTAAAAAAACTAGGTATTTTAAAATCTCAATTTAATATTTCACTTGGCCGTCTTTGGCAGCCTACGGTTTATCTTAAAAATCTTGCTCCCAATGATGATTTTAAGTTAGGCATGTATTGTCATAATAGTAATGTTGATAAATTTAACTGAGGTTGCAGGATTGTTTTTGTTTTTTTATTACTGGGTCATTTGCATAAGCTGTAATAGTATGTTAACTGATATTTGGGTGTCATTTTATTTCAGCCAAAAAGTATGATGCTTTTCTAGCTTCCGAGTCCCTCATTCGTCAGATTCCCAGAGTTTTGGGTCCGGGTCTTAACAAGGCAGGCAAATTTCCAGCACCAATCACTCACAATGACAGTCTTAATGCTAAGGTGGAGGAGACAAAAGCCACAATCAAGTTCCAGATGAAGAAGGTAGTTATTACAGTAGTATTTCTAGTATTTTATTACATGCAAGTTTGTGCCTATTAATCCATTTTTTATATGAATAGGCTTATTGAAAAGTTTATTCAAGCAAGTATTTGATACATTCTCAAATTCTCTTTCAGGTATTGTGCTTGGCAGTGTGTGTTGGACATGTGAACATGAACTCTGAAGAGTTGTACCAGAACATCACACTGGCTATCAACTTCCTTGTCTCTCTGTTAAAGAAAAATTGGCAAAATGTTAGAGCTCTCTACATAAAGAGCACCATGGGCCCTTCGGAGAAAATATATTAAAATTTATTGTAATTGAGCAATAAATGTTGCTATTATCTTTTTGCTTTTGTTTTTTTGTTAAATGTCCAATACTTGTGTAGTTCTATAGTTAAGACCTTTTTGGAGTTTAAAAACACCATTTGAATAACTAATTTGTATTATTGAATACCCGTTTAATGAAAACTAGTGATAAATACATTTTTGCCCACATATTACTATATTGGAAAAGATAATTCTACACCATTTTGAGGAGATATTCACAATGTACAATAACACTTGCCATCAAACAAAGGACTGAATTTAATTACTAGACAAATTATTTACAATCCTGATTCTGTAGTTTTCATCATTGCTCATCTCATTTAGAAGTTCCATATGGTTAATGGATGCTTCAAGATTTTCTTGGTACTGGTACTTTCATTTTGACCACAGTCCATCCCAGCTAGGACATCACCTCCTGTTAATGCTGCTGTCTGAAAATTTATTACCGGTTTGTTAGATTTTAAATGCAGGTAGTGCCAAGTTCTGTACAGTACAGGTTCATTAAAATGGGTTGCACATGGAAATGATATTAAATGAATTGAACACTCATCTTAATACTAAAAAGTTTCCCAATTCTGGATCGACCAACCATGTAGAGGTTAAAATCTATCTGATTATAAAAGTAAAAGATGGTACTGGTAGTTTCTACAATTAAGTAAAAAATACTGTCTAGAAAATACAATAATACTTCATACAAGCCCTATGGTCTTGACAACACTGGTGGTCAGACTCAAAGCCTATTAAAAAATAATTGTAAGTGAACAGTACACTACCGGTACCCTAGTGTTAATATTAAACATATTTAAAGCATTTCAATTTAATCTATTACTGTGCAGTCTTACTATTTTAAATACCGGTACCGTACCCTTTACTACCTGTAGCTTAAAATCAATGAAAATTAAATTATGCAGACATGACAAATATGAGATAGTATATATGCTGCATGTACTGGTACCGGGTACCGGTACTAATCACACTGAACTGAAAGTACATCTGAATAGGATAGGAACACAATGTTTCATTTCCCCATTAAGTTGCTCATTGCTGGCAGACCCATGGATTGTGTTTTTAAAATTCGAAAAATTCCAACATCTCTGTTTTTTCTGTAACTGCGCATGTAATCAATGTCTGTTTATTACCCAACAATTTTTGACCAAACCCTCAGTAATTACTGGTATAAAACATTTCTATACCCCCCACCCCTCTGTCCTTTATCAAGATCAAGTCTTTCAGTTCAGACTTTTGAATTCACATGACTTTGCCTTGAGTTTTGAACTTGAGGTCCGTTTAAAAAAAATATCAATACCGTACGGGTATCATTCAACCAATGTCTCTCCATCACTTATTTCAATTGTTACATTTACATTCTTATTCTTACTTGGTAAGTACCGGTACCAGTAGTGATTTTAAAATACAATTGAGTCAATTGCCTGTGTGGTTAAACATATTCATGTCACATTCTTCGCCAATCCACTGGAACGTACCGGTATTAAAAATGTTCAACATCACATGCAGTAAAGTCAAGCTCTGCACCTCTTTACTCTTGGTATATAGTATATGGTCCACTGTCTGTCTTGTAATTTTCAAATGACTGCTTAACACTTAAATTTAAATCTCTTCCATTCCAATGCACAGCAACATTTCCGTTTAATTTTAATTCTAGCTGTTGTTGCAGGTGGAGATGGTGCATCTGACATCATAGTACAGTACCGGTATTATAAAATATCAACTCTGTGGGATGTGTAACAACATTTATCCACCATTCTACATTCTTTATATTGTACCGGTATAAATTATACCTCACATCACCACATGACCAAATACTCCCATTCTCCAACCAACATTTACACATTTTAAGTATTTTAAGTTAAGTTTAAATTTAACATCAAAGAAACCAAGTTACAACATAGCACAATCAGGTCACAAAGTTCACTCAATACACTACAAAAATAATCATCAGTTACACTGACTGACACTTGACAGTTACTCATACTACGGTACATCATACAGATACTGGTAGTGATAGTGAGATATCGGTACCATACCAACTAAGTAAGTAACTAGACTAGACTATCAATAAAAAAAAATGATACTATCATTCAAATTCAACAGTACGGTAATAATTACCATTTCAGCAGCTCGCATATCATTCATATTTTCATTTAAGACATAGGCAGAACCTGGTCTTGTGAATGTATGCAAAAAACTATGCCTGTGCTTTGATTTTGATTCCTCTGTTGATATCTGAAGATGAAAAACATGCACATTTTAGCGTCAAAATGTTATGAGTATTATTAACACCAGGTTACACAGTAACGGTAATATTAAGGTGCAAGCCAAAGGCAGTACTGGTACCGTGCACAAATTTTAACTACCCGTAATTCATGGTTAACTTTAGTACTAGTACACCCGGTAGTTCAATCCAGTACCGGTAACATATTTACAAGATTAAACTACCTGACTCGGTACGGTAGTAAAAATTAAATGTACGGTAAGTTAGTAACACGACCTATTTGAACAAAAATATTGAAATACTGTAAAATCTTGATCTCTACTGTATGATAGAAGAAATTATCATTCTAATTCAATTTAGTTTGGGAGCAAATGTCACGTCTACAGATGTTTGTGTGCGGCAGGGGTGGCCAACCCAAATGGCTTTGCTGGGCTCTTACTCTTAGCTAGAGAGTTGAATTTTTGCCGGAAACATATCAATTAAATCTTATATTGAAATGTCAGGTCACAACTGATAATACTAAGTGTTGTAAAGAGTTGTTTATCTATTCTTAATAAATGCACATAATGAAATGCTAATTAAAAAAAAAATTAAGTTAATATGATACGGTACTGATATCATTTTATCTTTTCTCTCACTCTCACTTATCAGACATACCCATTCAAAATCAAGCATCTACAGGTCGCAATATTTGACACATGTTGGTCACCCCTGGTGTATGGTGCTGGCACTGACTGGTTAGTGTTAGTGTTTAAAATAAAAAGTATAAAACTTTACCTTCTTTATGATGTTCATTCTTATTAAATCAGCTTTAGCTGTCCGCTTGCAGCCAGCAACTGTAAAAAAGTTTCTCTTATTTATATTTTGCTTCTGTGTGGCTGCTTCCTTTTCACAACCGGCCCTCCCCCTACTCAACATGTTTTATATTATACTAATAGTAGTGAGGGGGAAAAAAGCTGTCAAGCAATAAGCGTCATGTGTGACTGTTGAACTCAGGTAAAATGTTTGAATTATTTCAGAGGCGACTATTATAGTTATCAATAAAATGCCACGGGTAGGACTGTCTGTAGGCCTTTTGTATAAAAGCTGGTAGGCAGGGTGTAGAACTCTCTTTAGAACCATTGTTTAAAGTTAAAGGCTGGCATATTTTAGAGAAATAGGGAGTTAACTTTTTTTTGTGACACTTGGACCTGCCAGGTATTTTTTCAAAATAATCAGACCCTGTGTAAAAAAAACTGCCCTGGGTTAAGCCCTAGAAATTGATTATTACACTTCAACGATGCTACTTGTACACAATATCTCATTTATAATATATTCTCTATGTCAATAAATTAATTAATTAATGGTACTGTACCTGGTCCTACATGTTTTTAATCATCACTCCAGAAGCTGTGTTGGTCGTAGATAACAGACTTTTTATTTAAATTTAATTATATATTTTTCCGTGTTGTTCATAAAGGACATCCACGACAAAAAAAAACTCCCCTCATGTCCCCAATTGGCTGAATAAAAAACAAAGTCACATTGCTTGTTTTCATTACTGGTCACTGGTAATAATTAATAGTAGTAAGTATTAGTGAGTGATCTCCCTCATGAAGTTTTTACTTGTTTCTTTTTGTTTAAGATTATACAATAAATAATTACTTGTATATCAGCTATAGATTTGCACAATTTAAACTACATACCCATACTGGAATAAATGCAATTTCTGACTAGTACGGTAGCAAAAATATGCTAACTTGCTGACATCCGCAAGATTCTTTATACTGCCCCAGTTGTGCACATTTGAACAAAGTCCCCCTTACTTCCTCTTTGCATATGTCCTTAATGAACAACTCCTTATGCCTGCAGATTGGCAGTGCATTTGCAATTTTGTTAGCCTTTGGGAATTTTACATTGAAAAAGATTAATGACCTCTAACTTGAGCCATTGAAAGAAATAATATTATATAATTTAATCGCATTAAATTCATCATATACCAATAGTTTTGATTGGGTATCTTAATTTTTAATAAAATATTGTATGGCTCCAGTATAAAAATAAATTTAATATTTTTTATCTTTTCTTACCTTCAAAAAATGCCCATATTGAATCAAGAGCTGACGCAAAGTCCACAGCAGTTCTAGAATCAGAATATAATAATATTGATATTTAATGTTACCTACATAAAGAAATGAAGCATTAGGAAGGGGTCAATAAAAAATATTTAATGTTGATTGCTGCAGGGTAATGGAAATTTGGCTGCCTCTCACTCTCAGTAGTCTCAACTAGAAGTTAGCTGACCAGTAAGCCGGATGATAAAGTTAATAATATTTTAAAAAACATCATTCAATGACTAACTTAACTGACTACTACTACTGGTTATGCAAAAGTATCAGATTTATTAAAGTACCAGTACTGGTACCGTACATAAAAAAAAAAAGAAAGAAATATTAATTTATTTGAATGTGTCCAAGAACCTTGGTTAGATCAAACGCGAAGGTTACCTGGTATATAGAAAGAGTAGCTTTTTAAATTTTTAAATATTTTAATTTCGGTACCAGTATTAGTTTTCCCATTTCAAACTGTATGAGTTGTTAGTGTGAAGCTTATTACCTCCCTTGTGCATCTGTTCTGAAAAGATCAGGCTTATTGTCCATAAGTAACATTACTACTTTCCCATGCCCTTGAAATGCAGCACAATGAAGAGGTGTCCACAGAGTTCCAGTGTTACATGCATTTATATCAGTTCTGTAAATATTGAATTTAAAATATCATACTTCTTATGACATATAAATTGTGAGAATAAACTTTAAGACAAAAATGAGGCTAAAAAAAAAGCAGAGTTGGAAAAGTCTGCATTTATTAAAATTCAAATCATTTGAAATACCACAGCAGTTAAGAAGAAATCCTTAAAGGGAGGTAATTAGTCAAGTATCCTACAGTGTTGAATTCAGAGTCTTTAACAGACAGTGAATTACAGTATTTTTTTTTTAACTCTTCCACTAAGATGGTAAAAATGGTTGGGAAAAACTGCCACAAACTGAGGGAACCATAATCAAATAGTACACGGTATCCATACTCAACAAAACTCTGTCATGGAATCTTCAGGACAATACAGAGAAAATAAAGAACAGATCAGATAGAGAAAAGATCTCAGCAAAAAGACTGAGAAAAACAGCAAGAAGTATAGCTGGAATGAGTTGCAAAGAGTAGCTAAGAAAAGAGAAAAATGAAGACACAACTAGAGTAGAATAGGAGAAATTAACAAGAAGAATGAATTTTGTCAGCTGCTTATTACATTACAATCTGTGTAGGAATTTAAGTGATTTTGAGTAGTAAAACAATAGTCTGAGGAAGTGAGGAGTTCAATCATTCAAATTTTCTTACAGTACTTATAATAAAGTAATGCTATTAAAATCTTTATAGGGTGTAATGTAACTTCTAACTGTAATAAAGAGAGTTATGAAATCTTAGCCAGTTTTCATGAATAAGCAAAATTAAAATACCTCATCCTAATTAAAGACAAACTAAGAATAGATTAGAAATATAAAAAGTTTATAAATTAATTTATCATCAAGAGTTAATGTTTTTTTAAATGCAGCAGATATACAAATGTATAATAGTCCCCCCAGTAGTCTCAGTCTCATTGCTTACACATTGTTTTTTATTTTTAATAAAAGTTTGATTGCTATCAGTGGTACCGGTAACTAACTCATGGAAGTGAAATTGTAAATATATATATATATATATATATATATAATATTAATATATATATATGTGTGTGTATATGTATATTTATACTTACCCCATGTCAATGAGGATTTGTACTATACTGTCATATCCCCAGAATGCTGCAATGGCAAGAGGTGTCATTCCTTCTGGAGATCTTATGTTAGGATCTGCACCAGAATCCAGTAGATTTTTAACAGTCTATTTTGCAAATTAAAACAATATACATAAAACTTTCATGTATAATACTAATGAATATAATGAAGAATGGTACTGAATTTATTGCAAAGTCGTTTAAAAATGTGACCTATATTGTAGTGCGACTCAAATTCCTGGACTGTAAACAGATGCTAGTCAGTAAGCCCCAAATGACTGTTCTGCAAATGATAGAAAATTGAAGGAGATAACCGTAGATAAATATCAACAATTTGGGATCTGGTCATTTCTGATTGCAAATATGAATGATTCCTGCAAGTTTGTCGCATTGAAAAGTTTGAGAAGCACAGATCTACTTTATGAAGCATCTACAGGTTGCAATATTTGACACATGTTAGTCACCCCTGGTGTATGGTGCTGGCACTGACTGGTTAGTGTTAGTGTTAGTGGTTAAAATAAAAAGTATAAAACTTTACCTTCTTTATGATGTTCATCTTTCTTTTCATTAAATGAATAAAGGAAATATTTTAAATGTTAGTACCCGTTTTAAAAAATTACACTTACACACTCAACACACATCATCAGACATATGTATTAAATGAAAATCTCGGGTCAATAATCCTTAATTATTTAGTAAATAGATTTCGTTAAATAATATTACTGTGACATTCATGTATTGTGGCATGGCTATGGCATGGAAATATCAAATTATCACATTTCTTACTTAGGCATAAATCTAATGAAATCAATCTTACAACTTATATTAACTTATATTATAACTTATATATAGAAGAAGTAAGACATTTTTGGAGAAAATGTGTGCATTCTTCAAATATTTTAGTAGGCCTATTAGTTATTCCAGCAAGCCTACTTGCAGGATTGTGCATGGAAAAAACCTCCTTCAGTGTGAGTGAGACACTGAATTAAATTTGTCTCCGGAAATTTGTTTGAAAGAAATTTCGACAGAGAATTGATAGACGGAAATTTGGTTGAATCTTTTTTTCAGTTCACTCGTTAAAATTTTGCGTAGAAATACTTTTTGAACTCATTATTTTGTTTCACTATGTAGTATAGTGTTCAAAAGAAAATTTTATTGTGAACTGAAAAAAAAGATTCTACCTAATTTCCGTTTGATCAAATTTCCATCTATCAAATTTCCGTAGACTAAATTTATTTCAAACAAATTTCCGGTAACCAATTAAATTTGTTCCTTGAACTTTGATAATTTTAAAATTTGGAAGAGTCTTAGACTACATTATTTTCCCCAAATTGGTAATGGGCATGAGCAAGGGCAGGCTGTGGCATGTGTATCATTAATGTCTTGTTATCTTATTTATTATAGTTATATTCTTATAAATATAGCTTATAAATAAATAAATCTCGAGTTCACTCTCCGTTGAACAAGAGGTGAACATCAAGATTGCAATAGCGGCCCCAACTATGGCTAAACTGAGTAAGCGGGCGCAGAATAATCTTAAACTAACTGAAAGCACAAAACTTGATATCTATATAAGTAATATAAGTATAAGTACTATAAGTATAAGTAGTATAAGGCATGTGTACTTAGTACGCTCCTATATGGCAGTGAAAAGTGGACCACATGTACCAGTTATGAGCAGAAACTCAACTGTCAACAGCATCCACCAAAGATGTCTGTCACATTTTACAATTTTACAAATTTGATGGCAGGACAAAGTGCCTAGCACAGAATACTGTCACAGAGGTTTTGAAACGTGCCAAAATGTGTAGCATGTTCGCCACTCTTAGCAAGAGACAACTTCGTTGGTTAGGTCATGTAAGGTGAATGGAGGAAAGTGAAAGCCATTTTCCATAGGATCTGATGTATGGAGAGTTAGCAGAAGGGGCAAGACTTATTTGGGCGCCAGCGATTTTGATTTACGGACGTTTGCAAAATGATCATGAGGGAAGCCAATATATAAGTCAACGAATGGGATATCATCGCTGGCGAACAGTAGTGTATGAAGGAGTCAACAAGGCAGAGGATGTGGGAAACAAAGCCCTTGCAGCAACAAAAGGAGCATTATGGGAGGCCAAATTTAAGATTAACTAGGACTCAGGAGTAAGAGTAAGAGTAAGAGGTTCTCCTGCGAGAAATAATAATAATAATAAGAGGGACATCCATTCCAGGATCGGCCTCCTAAGTGTCAATAGATACTCCATTGTCTCACGAAGACGGAAGGATGCCATATAAATATAGTATATTCTTGGAATAAACATAAGTTAGCGCTTACATGAAAGTCACCTGCTCCAGTAGCACAAGCAATAGTAACGGAATCTGCCATTTTGCTGTTGCGATGGGACGCCAAATGAAAATATGCAACTTCATAAATTGAAGAGTTGAGTTTGTTCTAGCGACAGTCGAGCGAAGCAAAGTGGGCGGAGCTTCGTTCCGCACCATGGCCCTTTACATTTCTTTAAAGGCCTTGATATGACAGGGCCTTTTTAAAAAAGTGAACATTTCTTTTATTAACAAGAAAGTTATATGTTGCAGCCTGCGCAGTCTGTGATATTCATTTAATGTTCACGTTTGTTGTGTCTGGAAATTTAACTATTCTTTTATTTCAACAAATGTGGAAACTCGGAATAATTGTGTTTTAATGCCACGATGGCCACATTTAGTAGATGGAAATGCATAACAATGTATAGGCATATTAAAGGCTATTTTGTAAAATAATAATTTTTATATAGCAATGGTGGAAATTATTTGATGAGATACTTTAATTTAAACAGACGTAGATCTGATGATGCAGGAAAATACCAGTAAAATAGTTACTGTGTCCAAGCAGACAAAATTTGCCACCAATGATTTACTTGTTTACACAGCACCGTTTCTCTTTGGCGTGGTTAGTTATATGAACGGAGTTGGTGGTCAGTTTGTTCACGATGATGTCCTGGCCATTCAAGAAAATCCCGATGTTACAGGGAGGTCTCCACTGCTCGATCTATTCTACAATGATTTCTGGGGGAAGGCGATGTCTGACAGGAGCAGTCATAAATCATACAGACCTATTTGTGTTTTAACTTTCAGGTAAGAGGGTCTTTGAACCATAGACCACGGGGACCATCCATCGGGGGGGGGGGGGGGGGGGGGGGGGGGGGGAGAGGAAGAGCTCTTATGTGACGTCACACCTTTTATATATTTGTTATAATTTTTTCTTCTTCTGCGTATTCTGAGAGAAGATTTCAATTTTATACATTTAATAGTTTATTAGTAACTGAGTTAAAGATTAAATTTTAATTAGTTGTTAATTTTTTACACAATATTTAGTTCGAAAGTGTTAAGCACTTTAATTTTGGTGTGGGTGTCTGCAGTGGCGTAGCGAGGGTATTTGGCGCCCGGGGACAAGATCCATTTTTAGCGCGCCTTTTCTTTTTTTTCAACTCTCAAACCCATTATTTTCATCGATAAAATAATATCAAAGCACATTTTGGCGCCCCTAACTAGGTGGCGCCCGGGGACATCTGCCCCCACCACGCTACGCCTCTGAGTGTCTGAAATTTGTGACAGAGCAAGGAAGGGGTAAATGTTTATTAAAAAAAAAAACTAGCGTTACGTACTCCATGGACGGCCCCATAGCTTTGTAAACTTTCCCCACGAAAGTGCGTGTACGTCATTGCTCGTGAGCACGTTCATGACAGAAGTATTAGTGCTATATTCCTCCTGCCACCAAGGAGAAGCCGGCTCTCATGGAAGGAGCTTGCTATAGAGAGGAAGAAGAATCTTAAATATGGTGATGATGAAACAGGTGGATTCAAAATAAACCTTTGTTTTTTCCAACACGATTCTCAACCATGCTCGGTCCCGTTTTGTAGCAAGGTGGGCCCCTGTTCCGGTGCACGTACTTCTCCGTCGTCGGTGTAGCCTCGCAGTCGCATGGCGTGTCAGGCTCCGATCAAAAGCCATCTGTAATTTTTTTTATGTATTATTTAAAAATTCATAATTTAAACCGCTGAGTAGACCTTCCCCCCCCCCCCACGGCCACCAAAACACACCACCGAAAGCTTAAATCCTCACCCACCACGCCAGCCCTTACCATGATGCATTGAACTCTATACAAAGTTTTCCCAATGGTGATAATCAAAATGATCTAATATCGACAACAACAAAAATAATGACTTTTCAATTTATTAATTTTTTTAAAGTCAGTTACAGCTGTCTGCAGGTCCCTCTTGGTAAGTTGCAGGACGCCAGTTGAAGGACGTCATTCGTAGGACGTCAGTTTTAGGACGTTAGTCGCAGTGCAACGCGACACAGCAGCTCATATCTGGAAAGTTTAATGTACACTCGCCGTTGTCTTTACTTCAGGTTAAACTACTACTTGTCTGATGGGGACCCGGCTTGGTTCCACGCCGTCAACGTGCTCCTCCACTTGTTGGTTGTCGTTCTCATGACCCACGTCTGCCTGAATGTCCTTTTCATGTCCAGATGGTGTGCGGGGCTGGCAGCTGCCCTGTTTGCTGTACATCCCGTGCACACAGAAGCGGTGAGCTATGTTGTCATTTTTATCACCTGTACCACAAAATGAAGAGGCACGGAACTAAGATTGACTCATCTCCAGGGGCGTCATTTCAGGTTTTTTTTTAAAAATGGGGGGTGGGGGCAAAAATCAAAATATGGTCGGTTTGTTAAGTTGTTTATTACTGGAGTCGCCACAGTACAAAGCAATTTAAATAAAACATACATATTGGGGGGGGGGGAGGGGGCAAATGCGCCACCCTGCCCTACCCAAATGATGTTCCTGCTTATCTCCCTCTCTTTGTGTGCATATGGGGGTGGGATGGATACACGACCTCCATAAATAAAAGACCTCACATTTTAAATGAGGAAACTTAATTGCACCCCTTTAAATTCAACGCTATCCCGAAATTTGGAGTCCTACATTGGAACCCAGGTAGCCGCGCGCCCCGCATTTAACGCGGTCATGGCATGGCTCCAGAAATTTTATTTATTCATTCACACATGACGTTATTTTAATATTTTTTTTTTTTCAAAACTAGCCGTGAAAACAAAAACTCTCTTACAACTCAATCACAAATTCACTAAATCTAGACCGACTTCAACACCGCATACATCTCCAACCACAATAGATTTAAACTATAAAAAAAAATAAAAAAATTAAATAAACTATCTTCCTGCTTCAGGAAACCCCAAACGCTATTCGCACGGAACAGTGTGACACCAGAGCTATGACGCGACCCCCCCCCCCCCCCCCCCCCCCCCCCCCCCCCGCTGTTAGCGCGATCCGATCTTATGGACTATAATAATCACGTTATACCGGGGTCCCACTTCACCAATATTGAATGAGTTCAGTTTTGCTATCACCAAACGAAATCGTACCCACGACATTGTCACCACTGTTGATCGTTTATTGATTTATTTATTTGATTTGTTTATCGATATTACAGCCGTAAAGGCTGTTCTTTTAAAACTAGGCACATTGGCTAATCGTATGATGCCTGAATACATTTTGGGGTCAAATATATATGCCATTTTTTTTTCTTATCTTCCCTGGGGTAATTTTTTTTTTTTTTAAACACTGTAAAAAGCATTGACTAGAAGTGTACTCTCACTGTTACTGTAACGATTTGAACTTATCAACAAGAAAACCAGCAGAGAGGTGCGCACGTCACAGTGTGCACAGATTTTTTTTTTTTTTTTTTTTTTTTTTCCTTGGGGTAATTTTTTTTTTTTTTTTAAACACTGTAAAAAGCATTGACTAGAAGTGTACTCTCACTGTTACTGTAACGATTTGAACTTATCAACAAGAAAACCAGCAGAGAGGTGCGCACGTCACAGTGTGCACAGATTTAGTGAAACTGTTCAACAAACTATGACGTCATCAGACTAGAGTGTGTGTGTGTGTGTGTGTGGGCGGGATTTAAAGAAAACTAAGAACTTCAATTGTATCTGTCCAAGAGATCATAGCTTCAATGAGTTAGGGTTTTAGGCCTGTGCATGCCTGCGTGAGTGTGTGTGAGTGGTGTGGGTATGTGTGTGTGTGTGTGTGAGGTGTGGGTATGTGTGGTGGGGGATGACTATGGATCCCGTGGGACAATTTAGTAATTAAAAAAGAAATGCAGTTTATTTAAAAAAAAAAAATAATTTTAAGCATCGCAATGAGGAAGTGGAGTCTTAGAAAAGGAGTCGTTATGGTTGACATCGGGTCCACAGTGACAGTGGCGACGCCGAGGCGACGTGTTCAAATAAATTTAAAAAAAGACAACTCATTCTTTTCCTAGTATCTGACCAATTTAAGAAAACAAATGGGCTGACACACGTCATCTTATTATAAGTTACCTATTTCTAAGACTTGATGTTAAATTGATGCTGTTATTCCACAGGTGACTGGTGTAGTAGGTAGAGCAGATGTTCTGGCTGGTGTATTCTTCCTGTTTTCCTTCTACCTTTATGCCAGGTAGGTAAATTAAACAAAATTTATAATTTTGTCTCACGTGTTTGCCATCAATTACCCAGCACGCTTGTCCCACTTCACACACGAGGCAGTCCCCGTGTAGAGCAGCTGGTGGCTTCTAGCCGCTTGCATAATGTGTGTCCTGTCCAAGGTTTTTGTGTTCCTAGTTCATAGTGACACTATGTAAATGGTATCGAACCATCATTATCTAAACACAGTCACAAAGTTCCATCTATTCAAAAATGATGTGAGGTCATTCACATTTCATAATGTCGAAGCGCCCCCTCCCACCCCCCCCCCCCCCCCCCCCCCCC